CCACATTTGTATCGCACGAAGGCTTGTTTCGGTTTCGCCGCGTGTGTTTTGGGCTTGCATCTGCCCCTGCAGTGTTTCAGAAAATGATGTCAATTATTCTTAAAGGTTGTAATGGCGCCCTTTGTTACTTGGGCAACATTTTGGTATGGGGACGTACTCGCGAAGAGCACGATGCTAACTTGCATACTGTTGTCAACCACATCAGTGAATCTGGTATAAAACTTAATAACAAGTGCATTTTTTCTGTGAATGAGTTACAATTTCTAGGACATGATGTCAGTTCCCGCGGCGTGACACCTGTTGAATCTAAAGTTCAGGCCATCGTCAATGCCCCACGGCCTACTGATGCCAAAACCTTGCAATCTTTTTTAGGTCTTGTTGATTATTATGCCAAGTTTGTTCCTCACTATGCTGATGTTGTTGAACCACTGCGTACTCTACTTCGTCAAGCACAGCCTTTTAACTGGTCAGCTGAAGCTGAGCAGAGCTTCATTCGAGTTAAGTCAATACTGGCCTCAAAGCCAGCTGTTAGTATTTTCAATGAGAAGCTTCCCATCGTCATCACGACGGATGCGTCTGATGTTGGACTGGGAGCAGTGTTTCGACAACTCAGAGGTGATCAGCTGATCACTATCGCTTTTGCATCTCGTACATTGACCCCTACTGAACGTAGATATTCAGTAGAAGAGGGTGAAGCTCTCGCGTGTTTTTTTTGCCTGTGAGAAATGGCATGTTTACTTGTGGGGCCGGCCCTTCACATTATGTACAGATCACCAAGCACTAGTTGCTCTTCTTTCTGCAGGATCCGAAGGCCGCCGCCCCATTCGCATTTCCCGTTGGTGTGCCAAACTCATGTATTATAATTTCAGTGTTCAATATTGTAAGGGTTCTAATAATGTGGTTGCTGATGCACTGTCGCGCCTTCCTCTTCAGATACCGGTTACTGAAGAGCGGGATGAGGAAGTTGTTTCATAAGTTATTTCCTGCATTACTAAAGCTGAGCTTCAGGCAGCTACAGCTGCAGATTCCACTTTGTCTCAAGTTCTCAAATATTTACGTGAAGGATGGCCTTCCAAATGTGCTCTTGCTTCTGAATTCTTGCCTTACTTCGCAGTCCGACAGGAACTGTCTTGTGTCGAGGACTTGCTTTTCCGCGATGAACGCGTGATTCCCCTTGCTTCTTTCTGTAACAAGCTAATACAGCTTGCCCATGAGGCCCATCCAGGCATTGTCCGGACCAAACATAATCTCCGAAACAGGTACTGGTGGCCAGCCTTAGACAAGCAGGTCGAGCATGCAGTTTACAACTGCCATATATGTCAGGCAGCTGACAAGTCTTCCAAACCTGCATTTTCTCCGTTGCAGCCAGTCCAGTGGCCTGATCGGCCTTGGCAGAAACTCGGCATGGACATCATCGGTCCTTTGCATAATGCTCCGCAAAATGCCCGGTTCATTGTTTCTCTCATCGACTACCATTCCAAATGGCCAGAGCTTTGTTTCAAACACACGGTTACTTCTGAGGTCATAATTGAGTTTCTGTTTTCAATCTTCAGCCGGGAAGGTTTTCCTGGTGCCATAGTTACAGACAATGGTCCACAGTTTCAGTCCCAACATTTCGAGGCTTTTCTTTCACAACGAGGAATTCAGCACTTGAGGTCATCAGTTTTCTATCCCCAATCAAATGGGCAAATTGAGCGCTTTAATCGCGTTCTGAAGGGACATATCCAGATCGCCCAATTAGAGCACCGTCCCCTCAAGCAAGTCTTGACTGAATGTTGAGCTTCATACAGGTTCACACCACAAGGCTCCACTGGAGTGTCTCCTGCTCAACTTCTCCACGGTAGGCAACCGCGAGTTGCTCTCGACATAGTCTCTTTGCCTCGTAACATAGCAGCGTCTTCTCCTGATCAAATCCGCACCAGGGTCTTTTCTCATCAACAAGCAATGAAAAAGTATGTCGACACCCGTCAAGGTGCAAAGCAGACCAAAGTTCGCACTGGCGATCTAGTCAAGGTTCGTGTGCCAGGCAAGCACCCCAAGTATCGGGGTCCTTACAAAGTCTTGGGCCAGGTTAGCCCCACTTCGTTTCGCTCAAGTGGTGGTAACATCTGGAATGCTTCGCGCCTTGTTATTTTTCATACGGATTCGCCTTCAACACCTAAAAGTCTTCCCCATCACGTTCCGTCCACCCCTTTCAACTACGCATCAGACTGTTACATGTGGCCTCCATGTACAGGCATTTCTTCTTCAACGGGGGAGGAGTTACCAGTCGGTGTCGCTGGTTCAAGTACACCAAGTCTTACGGTTCACTTCGAACCTTCAAATACGGCTGAGACCGTTGAACCGGACTCCGGTCCGCAAAATTCTTTCGAAGCTCATGCTGCGAGCTCTGATGAGACCGCGAATTTTAACGCTTGTTCAGAGATTTCACAATCTTCTACTGCTCTTGATGTGTCACATCAAAGCCCAAGTGACCAAGGTGCAGAGACACCTGATTCTACACCCAAAAAGGCCCGCCCTAAGCGGAAGTGGCAGAAGCCGCGTCGGTTCGAAGACTACGTGTCATAGAACTCTTGTTCATTACTGTTCGTGAACATTATTGTTCTGTGCAAAGGTCCAATGCATCCAAATCTATATTGTACTGAGTTGTATACAATTTTTTTAGTGCATTTTCAGGACTTCCAATGTACATTTTTTCAATGCATTTTCAGGACTCATAGTGTGTGAGTTCGGTGTGCCGTGCTCTGAATTTTCATGTGTTCTAATGTACATACCTTGTAAAATATGTTGGTATCGATCATGTACAAATATAAACAGTGTATAGGTGAACTTTTTTCGAGGAGGGGATGATTGTTGTGTTCTGGTTTTTTCGGTTTCGGAATGACATGTGAGGATGCCAGGGGGCGCCGCTCTGGCCTCTAGGATTTCAAGGCGACTGTAGAATAAAACCAGTGTGTGTTGGGTAACCGTGGAGTGTGGTTGTTGTTCTTCTCTTCGGCGCTTTGCACCAACCCGCGTGTTCGGGCTGGTCGGCGTCCCCGCTGGCCGCGTACGTCTCCGTCGGCCGTGTTCTTCTTCTGCTTCGTCGGGACCAGCCAGCCCACAACACAGCAAGTATGTTATCAGAAACAATAAAATCCAAATAAAACTAGGGATATAACACAAATATCTGACAACTCAACAGTTATATTTATCGCTAATCAGTAAACATGTCAGCAAAAAAAAAGTTACCGTAACAAGAGATGGCACCACATAAAAAATGTGGTCAGAATTTGGAGTAATTATCATAGTGCAAAGCACTTTGCAAATATTTGTAGCATTAAACAGCAACCAGTGCCCAGCTGGTGGGATCTGTGGATCTGTGGCAAAATACATACACTCAAACCTCAATATAACGAAGTCACATCTGTTACGAAAATATTTTGTTATATCCAATAATTCATTATAAACATATATTTGCAACACCGTATCTGTGACAAAGCTATTCCTCTCTTACTTTGTTGTAACGGATAATCCGTTTTATCCGGGTTAATTACATCGAGGTTTGAGTGTAGTTGAGTAGGCACACAAAGTGTAAGTTGTGGCTTTGTCTTTGAACCACCATCATATGTGGACAAACCTTTAGCAAGACCTGGAAGGGCTACTTGACAGGGCCACAAAAAGGGCGGATCCTGGAGCTAGTGCAACACTGAACAGTACATTAGCGGTGTAAAGCTGCAAGCCCTTAAAATGCAGGCCTGCAGTTGATGGGGATTCAACACCGACAATGCATAAAGGCCCAAACGCATGCACGCGATTTTCGAGTGATAGCGACAAGCTTGCTCCGTTGCGCCATCGCATCGCGGTGGTTGCAACCACATGTTGGCGATGTGTGATTTTTGCTAGATTTAAACCTATCATGTGCATATTCATAAATTGTGAATAGAAGTTTAAAAGTATGTCGATGACAACATGCCAAATTCATTGCTGTCTTGTGTGGCATAAGGAAGCCACAAAAGCATTTCACAACCTTCTTTTTTCATTATCTTGAAATTAACCGTGACCGGTTGCCAGAAAAGTATGCTACGATAGCTACAGCGCACTTCGCATGACAATTTCACATTGCAGCAAGCAGCAATAATTGTCACACGCTGGCATCGAAGCAACAAAACAAACCTTCGATAACAAGATTCAGGACAAAATACGGCCGCTCTTTCACTCTCCGCATGAGGTGCGAATGCAAAAAAGGTGGTTGATACCTTGCATTCCTTGAAGTATACGCAGATAACAAGCATCGAGAGGAAATTCCAACTAAAGCGAGGACCAGCCGCTTGCCGGAAATCGTCACGCTGGCTTCCGGGCGACAAGCGATCTTTCCTAGTTTTCCAGAAAAGCGCGATGCAACAAGCAACGGCTACAAATTGGCCTCTGCGACAGCAAATCCTGCAGCTTATCACTTTCGTTTATTGCTGTTGCTACAAAATCGCATGCACGTGGTTGGGCTTAAAATGCAGCCAAGGTCTTAAAATGGTACTGTATGTGTGGTGAAACTTGTATTGCCTTAAGCATATTTAAAGTGCCGTCTAATGTAGATAAGGAGCCATGGGTTCAACTGCAACTGTAACAATACTGTTCATAATGCTATTTCCTGCAGAGGCTACCTAAATACAATAAGATATTTAAAAATTAAAACCTTGCCAATGTACCCTGCATTAGCACTCTCCAGGCATATTCAGGCATTTTTTTCTCAGTGTGTTACAAATTTGACTACATATTACGAGAATATTTTACAGAAGGGGTGAACTGAATCGTTTATACCTATCGTTCCTCAATATACATCCAAGAAACCAGAAAAGCTGGTGCACACCATAAGCTAATGAGATCTGCTGATTCCCAACCTTTGCTGCTCTACGACCAATAAGTTTGTAGGAAGTGGTAAGATCATGGTGTAGTCTATAACAGCTGAACAGTGACAGTGTTTAGAAGCTAAAGACTATTCCTGTGAAGAAATGACAACTTACTCCTAGAATGCCTTCAATGGCCATTTCATCAATGACGATGGGCAAAGAGGGAGGGTGTGCCACAGCCACTGTTACTGCACTCTGGTTGGACAGCTGATCCTGCTGAAGAGCCACTGGACAGATGGTCTCATTTTCAACAAGCTTCACAGCAACAGCCCGGCAGAGAGCACCAATTTTGCGCTCTAACGTCCGCACTCCAGCTTCTCTTGTGTACTTGATCACTGGGCATATCGCAAGTGTGAGACGGTAAGGCTGCTAGTTATAAACACTTGTTTACACATGTCACAATCAGAAGACTGAAAAAGGAACATGAGATCATGCTATACGATGGCAACAATCTCAGGACTTGAAGAAGGCTCCTCTCCCCAAAAAATGTTCTGTCTACTCTCTAACCTCCCCATTTCTTTCCTAAAAAATAGTAACCTAATAGACTGCACAAGCTATCAAAAAAGCCGTAAAGGCACAGGTCATTGTGGTTAAAAAGGAATGGTAATTAGATGATGCATGCTTACCCATTCTATATTCATCTGACGAATTTAGTTGTTGTCATTGAGTATATAGCTGTCACTTTGTGACCTGGTAAACGCAGAAGTCTCTAGAATTGAGTGTGTTTTGATTGACAGAACACCTACATTGCGATTTGTGTTTCAATTTTAAGAGACAACTTCGTAGCCATCTGGTTTCACAACAGGTTGCTTACTGGTTGTCAAGAGATGTTCAGCATTATACAGTAAAACCTCGTTAGTTCGAACTCGGTTATTTCGAAATCCCACTGAATTCGAAGGATTTCCGCGGTCCCGTATTTTGCAATGTAAGTTTGAGTGGATAAATTGAAGCGGTGGCCGGCACCAGTCCGGTTAATTCAAAAACTTTGGGTGCCATGTGACAGTTACAGATTCCGATTTCGCCGCGAATCCGCGGAACGACGGCTATTAATGGCCACAAGGTAATGCAACGTATCGATATTAACGAGTGGCAGCCTTGCTACTTCCTGTGCAAAAAAGGAACAACAAAAAACAAAAAAAAACACGGTCTCGTGGTCAACCAAAACGTGCGCTTGCAGAAAAGAAGCCGTGCTTCACTGCACGGCTTCACTGAACGGTGACACGCGGGCAGCTTATTGCATGTTTCACGCAACGTCAGCAAGTCATGGTTTACCCATTCTTTCTGGGATTGTGAATAAAGGGCAGTTTGGCGGAAATCGCGATTTATGCGAACCTCCAATTGCCGGTAGCTTCAGCAATTCGCGTCTTTGCACTGCTGGCGGAGTTCTTGCCAGCAACACCTACTTCGAAAACTAAATTCGAAAGTTCCAAAGATCATTTTTTCCAGCCAAAACACATCGTGAGCTTTGTCATACTGGCCATTAATAAAGTCATAATTATAATAGAAAGAATGTGCGAGTGGTCGCATCATGACGAGCTGACGAAGCGAGAAGCAGGCGACATGCTGCCCGCATGTCACCACTGTGATGCAGTGAAGATGTCTTATTATTTTCTGCAGGCGCACATTTCAGTCAATCACGACCACGTCTTTTTTTTTTTTTTTTTTTTGTGGCAGCAGCGAGGGCCACCGTTCCTCCATGTTCGCGGCAAAATAAAGTTCAGGTATTGCTGGAAAACATGACCTTCGGAGCCGCAAGCTAGCCGGCACAGCAAACGACGAGCACTGATTACTTTGAATAGTTCCTTGCATCCCACTTCTATATTCTGTTAATTCGAAAACCCGCTTAATTCGAAGCTTTCTCGCGGCCCCAATGACTTCTAATTAATGAGGTTTTACTGTACTTGAGACTTCTCAGCACAGCGTAAAGTTGGATGGTCAAATATATTTAACCTACTTAGATAGGCTGTCTTTATAATAAACAGTGGGTCAGGCAGCGATGACGTAGTGGTTAGAGTATCAGCCTTACGTGCAAGAGGTCGGTGGCTCGAATCTCGGTGCCACGTAGTTCCCTACCGGATTAAAAAAAAATCCGCGTGGTGATGGAACTGCATTAAGAGGCCTGGGTTGCAGCCTCACCAGTGACCACCACCGGCAATACACTCTTTCACCAGAGAAGTATTGGCCACTACCTCCCACATGCATACGTCAGTTAACTATTACCATACTATTTTTAACGGTATCGTAGATGTCAAGCAAATGTGGAAAAAACTAAACACAATTATATCTTCAAGTAATAGGACGCCCGGTGTCGACGAAATTACAATTGATAATCATATATTTAAAGGAACAGCATTAGCCAATAAATTCAATGGGTACTTTACTTCTTTGTCAGAAAGTACTTACGACGGAAATGCATTAAGTTACATGCCAACACCTATAGCCCCCTCAATATTTATTGACCCTACGGAGCAAACTGAGGTAAACAACGTTTTCATGAAACTTAAAAACAGCAAAAGTGAGGACATTGACGGCATAAAAATGGAACCGGTTATCTTTGTTATTGATTTATTATCACCCTGCCTGACGCATATTTATAATAATGTTTTAAGCACAGGTATGTTCCCTAAGCGGATGAAAAATGCCAAAGTTGCAGTGCTATATAAAGGTGGTGACAAAAATGAAATGAGTAATTACCGGCCAATATCGGTATTACCTATATTTTCAAAGGCTCTAGAAAAAATCATTTTCACTAGATTGTATAAATTTTTGGACTCGCATTCTGTGATTACAACAGCACAATATGGGTTCAGGTCTGGCGTATCGACGGAGACAGCGCTGTTGCATCAAAAAGAGTTGATACTGGGCAACATTGAAGCAAGAAAGCTAACATTAGGCGTATTCATAGACTTTACGAAGGCGTTCGACAGAATTGATCACCAAACCTTGTTAGAAAAATTGTTTTATTACGGGATTAGAGGCATCGCGCTCGATTTAATAGAAAGCTACCTTAGTGATCGGTACCAGTGTGTGTCTATAAATAGGCAAACATCTATGCCCAAAAAAATCAAACGCGGTGTACCACAGGGAAGCATATTAGGACCTCTTCTATTTAACCTTTATATCAATGATATTGTAAATGTGGATCACTCAATAACGTACATTATTTATGCAGATGATACAAGCTTATTCTTTACGGGAACAAATATAGACGATTTTATAAAAGCAGCTAATAAAACGTTAGTCAATTTTTCGAAATGGTTCTGCCAAAATTCGTTACAGATCAACAGCTCTAAAACCAAGGCCGTTCTTTTCCGTGCGAAAGGAATAACATGTACGTACACACAAAAACTGATGCTAAATAATTTCAATATCGAACTTTCAGAGACTGTCAAAACTTTGGGCGTCATCTTTCATCAACATATGTTCTGGAATTCTCACACTGAACAATTGTGTATTAAGCTAAGAAAAGCCCTTGGCGTGCTGAGAAGGTGTCAGTCGTTTCTACCGCTCCCCCAGAAACTTCTTATCTTTAATACGCTTTTTTGTTCTCATCTACGCTATTGTCAGTTGGTATGGGCTTCTGGAACTGAAACATCAAAACAAAAGTTGTATACACTTCAAAAAAGCGCTTTGCGGGCTGTTGCAAATATAGGTTACAGAGAACACACATCCCATTTATTTGTCAAGTTTAAAGTTTTAAAATTTTGTGTTGCATATGAACATAACTTGTTGTCTTTGAGGTCTGAAATTCGAAAGAATTGCGCAAACCTGAGAGGCTTAGCACATTTACAGCCGAAAATTTTGTTGCGTCCGATGCGGAGTTCTGAACACTGGCACATCCCCCGACCGCGAACAAATTACGGACTCCAAATGCTAAAGCACTCTGTTCCCCATATACTAAATAAGTTCAAGCTCACAGAACAGCAATTGCATCTCCTTTCAAGTAGTGATATATTAAACCTGTTTGTATAAAGAGTTATAAACCCAGAAAAATTACACCCAGTACTTGTAAATGCATGAAATTTTAAGTGTACCCCTTTCTGTTATAGCGTCTTATTTTGGTTGCCTTTTTTCCCAATAATTGTTTGTTTGTAAACACCCAAGTGTGCATCTATTCTGTACTTCATAAACAACCACTAGAATGTTATTTTCTTTTCTTTTTTCTTTCAATCATACATGAGCACTGTATGAAGTTTGGTGTGCCATTGTTTCTGTTGCCTTGTACAAATGGGAGGTGGGGCTAGTCAAGCTGCTATAGCGCAGCTTTTTTCCTACTTTCCATGCCACAATTGTTTCTTGTTTGTGTAAATCACGGTGTATCGTTGTGGTGAAATAAATTTCAACTTCAACTTTCAACTTTCAACTTTTAACTCACGGCCCTTATTCACCAGCAGCAGCAAAGCAACTAACAACGGCGGCGGTCAGATCTGCAACGCAGCAGAGGGTGCTAAGAATCTCTGGGTTTGGACAGGCCGCCATTGGAACCTGAACTTGGCAACGTTTAACGCTAGAACCTTATCTAGTGAGGCATGTCTAGCTGTACTATTCGAGGAGCTATAGGGTGTTAAATGGGATGTAATAGAGCTCAGTGAGGTTAGGAGGACAGACGAGGCCTACACAGCGCTACAGAATGGCCACGTCCTTTCCTATCGTGGCTTGGCTGACAAAAGAGAACTGGGCGAGGGGTTCCTTATCAACAGAAATATAGCTCGCAACATAGAGGAATACTATAGCATTAATGAAAGGGTGGTAGGTATCATAATTAAAGTCAATAAGAGATACAAGATAAAGGTTGTACAGGCTTACGCACCTACATCCAGCTATGATGACGCGTCAGTTGAAAGCTTCTATAAAGGCGTGAAATCGGCAATGAATAAGGTAAAAACAGAGTATACTATACTGATGGGCGACTTCAATGCCAAGGTAGGGAAGAAGCAGGCTGGAGCCCAGGCAATAGGAGATTATGGCATAAGTACTAGAAATGCTGGAGGGGAGCTATTAGTAAAATTTGCAGAACACAATAACTTACGGATCTTAAACATTTACCAAAAACGAAAGAATCATAAGTGGACATAGAGGAGCCCTAATGGCGAAAGTAAGAATGAAATAGACATTATACTGAGTGCACAGCCAGACAATGTGCAGGATGTGCAAATGCTTGGCAAGGTACGATACAGTGACCATAGAATGGTACCATCTCGAGTTCGCCTGGAATTGAAGAAGGAATGACAGAAACTGATATGCATGAAGCCAATCAATGAGCTAGCTCTGAGATGGAAAGTACAGGAATTCAGAGTCTCCCTTTAGATCAGGTACTCGGCTCTTATCGAGAACACCAGCATAGTGTTGACGCAATGAATGATAACTTGACGATAATCATTACGGAGTGTGCAGTGAAAGTTGGAGGCACGGTACTTAGGCAGGACACTGGCAAGCTGTCCCAGGAGATAAAGAACCTCATTAAAAAGCGTCAAAGCATGAAAGCCTCAAATACAACAGACATAATAGAATTGGCAGAGCTTTCGAAGCTGTTTAATAAGAGTAATGTATCCGATGTAAGAAGGTATAATATGGAGAAAATCGAACACAGTCTGTAGAAAGGAGGAAGCGTCAAAGCAGTGAAGAGGAAACGTGGGATAGGCAAAAATCAGATGTATGCACTAAGTGACACAGAAGGCAAAGTAACTATCAATATGGATAGGATAGTTAAAGTAGCGAAGGAGTTTAACAGAGATCAGTACAGTAGCCAGGATAACCACAACCTTAACATAAGAACTAGCAGTAACCCAGTTGGCATCCCACCAGTAATGATAGAATAAGTCAGAAAAGCCTTGGAGGGAATGTAAAGAGGCAAAGCTTCAGGTGAGGATCAGATAACATCAGATCGGCTGAAAGACGGAGGACAGATTGTGTTAGAAAAACTAGCCACCCTGTATACAAAGTGTTTCCTGACGGGAAGAGTACCAGAATCTTGGAAGAATGCTAACATCATCTTAATATGTACATAAGGAGATGACAAGGACTTGAAGAATTACAGGCCGATCAGCTTGCTCTCTGTAGTATACAAGCTATTTACAAAGGTAATTTCTAACAGAATTAAGACATCAGAACTCAATCAACCAAAGGAACAATCAGGATTTAAGACAGGCTACTCAACAATCGACCCCATTCATACTATCAATCAGGTAGTAGAGAAATGCTCAGAATACAGCCAACCACTATACATAGCCGTCATAGATTACGAGAAGGCATTTGATTCAGTAGAAATATCAGCAGTCATGCAGACACTGCAGAATCAGGGCGTCGACGAAGCATATATAAACAACCTGGAAGAAATCTACAGGGGATCAACTGCTACTATAGTGCTTCATAAAGAAAGCAACAGAATACCAATCAAGAAGGGTGTAAGGATAAGGAAGGGGGACACAATCTCCCCAATGCTATTTACCGCGTGCTTACAGGAGGTTTTCAGAAGGCTAGAATGAGTACAGTTAGGGATAAGAGTTAATGAAGAATACCTTAGTAACCTGCGCTTCGCCGATGACATTGCATTGCTGAGTAACTCAGGGGATGAATTGCAACTCATGATTACGGAGTTGGACGACGAGAGCAGAAAGGTGGGTCTTAAAATTAATCTGCAGAAAACGAAAGTAATGTACAACAATCTCGGATGAGAACACCGCTTCAAAATAAGTAATAGTGCATTTGAAGTTGTAAAAGACTATGTCTACTTAGGACATGTAATAACCGCACAGCCGTGCCATGAGACTGAAGTAACTAGATGAATAAGAATGGGGTAGAGCACATTTGGCAAACACTCTCAAATCATGACTGGTAGATTGCCACTATCCTTCAAGAGAAAGGTATATGACAGCTGCATCCTGCCAGTACTTAGCTACAGATCAGAAACCTGGAGACTTACAAAGAGGGTTCAGCTTAAATTGAGAACGACGCAGCGAGCAATGGAAAGGAAAATGATAGGTGTAACCTTAAGAGATAAGAACTGGCGGAACATATGGGAGAGGCCTTCGTCCTGCAGTGGGCATAGTCAGGCGGCGGCGGCGGCGGCGGCGGCGGCTGCTGCTGCTGTTGCTGCTGCTGCTGATGATGATGTGGCTTCAAAAGTGTCCATATTCCAACGTATGTGATCAGAAGCATAAGTTATTGAGGGATTATAGGAGGGGTCAACACCCCCCCTCCCCCACAAAGTAAAATTCTGGTGAAGACAGAACACAGGTATAAACTAAGACAAAAAAGCTTCTTTAAAAAATGCCATTCCAGCCCTCGACAGGAGTTTCATCCAGTTTAGCATATTAGGCAATTTTGTCACTTTCTACCTAACCAGATGAGATTCCATCAGAATCTTGACTCTGCATACAATTCTAGTCCAAAAGGCTTCTATGAGGGAACACACCACCAGGAACCCACTACATTCAATGGTGAATGGCCCTACAGATGGGAAGCTTATGTTTTGTTAACACGTCACAGTTCATGAAAGCAAACACTGGACCTTACCAAGTTTTCTCAGTGCTTCATTGGTCACTTGCATCATATCAGTTGTAATTCCATGCTCTTTCAGTTGCTTAGGAAGGAGATGGTTTCGAGCAATGTGTTCCTTCTCCTCGTGAGTATAACCAGGTACAGGAATGACCTAGTTACCAAAAAAATATAGAGAGCAACAGTGCTTTTTAGTTAAACTTTTGAATTATTAAGCACAGCTGCTCAATTTTGTATTTTTTACACTTTGCAATCTAATTAGACAAAACTATAAACATTCCCCCTACATGACATCTGCTAAGAAACAACACTGGGAGCCCAAAAGTAAATGTAAACGTTCAATGGGCTGAAGTCTGCAACATTCACTCTCACCCATGCATGTCAATACTTGTCAGGAAATACCAGCATAAGCGACTCAGTGCAAGAAGCCACTTGCCTCCATCCGGTCCAATAAGGCTGCTGGAATTGTGGAAACTGTATTGGCTGTGGCAATAAACAGAACACTTGAAAGATCATAAGGAATGTTCAAGTAGCTGAAAAATGCCGATAAGGAAAAAAATGAGAGAAAACGAACAAGAAAAATAAAAACTTACAATTACACCAGTCCCTCTAGTCCAAACGTCTAAAAAAAAAAAGCACAACAGACTGCATTCCTCAGACAAATTTTGATGCATACGTAATACTACTAAAATTTTAAAAGTGGAACTGGTCTTGTTAAATGGAACCTGAAGAGAACAGGAAGATATGTTCCATATAACAGGAGATCTGTTTACTAAGAGATGAACAAGGGTGCCGAATTCAAGTACAAATCGGTCCAGGCAGTTGTTCCATTAAAGCAGGAGTTCCATTTAAAATATTTTGGTTTACTGAAAGTATACTACACATTTCATGTCGAAAACACTCTAAAAATTACTCTGAACTAGACGCTTTCTTTCCATATTAACAGATATTACACAATAAGATTAGTTAAGTGAAAAAAAGAAAGAGAGAAACAGTTTTGATCAAAAGCTCACTTCCAATGTGGCTCTCGCATTGACAACCAGCCCGAGGCTATGCCTCCCTGGGAATTCACCACCATCACATTTAGTAAGACAACAAAGTTACTGCGCTCCGATACATCATCTACAATTGATGAATGCTCGATCATCGAGGCCCCATGCACTAATACCTGCAAACTATGTACAGATGCTGCTATCCTATAAGACGGCAGAAGGACATCATTCCTGAGTACTACGCATAATTTTTTAAGTGGCCACCAGCGTTATCTATCTACGGAAGCCACTCCTCCTGTGATGGAAATTCAAGCCATACATGATGCAATCCAGGATGCCACCTCTAAGCTGCTTACAATTAAGCAGATTGACGTATACACTGATTCCTTAGGAGCTATTAAGGAGCTCAAGAAAGTACACAAGGTGATGGAGATCTGCGAGGCGATTGATAAGCTGAACCATAATACAGCTACTTGCGTAAAAGTACATTGGATTCAAGGCCATGCTGCAAGCCCACAACAACATTGCTGCTGACCAGCAGGTACACTGCCCTCCAGACATGGAGCTTCTAGCTATTCCCCTTCCACCATCCCCCCAAAACTTATTCCATGTCCGTAAAAATGTTCTCCCGCAGGATACACGAGCTCTCATTCCACCGTGTGTCTCCTCTGTCCCCCCTCACCTTACTAGGGCGGAGGAAGTTGTGCTTAGGAGGCTTCGGGCAGGGGTGGCCCTTACACCGGCCGTTATATTGTCGTGGAACTGGTCACATTTATGAGTTGGTGATACGTTTCTGTATTGTCCCACTCCAGCAATGCAAGCAGATGCATACCACCTTATATAGACATGTAAAGGGTTGCAGCCAGAACGCTCCTGTCACTTCTTTCAAGCCGGCCTTCGCTACAGTGACACAGCCAGTTACAACCGCCGAATACATGACAACACATTCCACAACACTACTTCACTTCATACACAACACCGGCATAACGGCGCACATTTAACAAACATACTCGTAAAAATATTATGCCTTAAAGGCAAGTCTTTGTCACAATTAAAAAAAAAGCCAAAGCTTTGATAGCAACGGCAGTACATCTAATACCAATAAAAAGTTCCATAGTTTTATCAGTCCAGCATAGTTAAATAAACATCTGCAAATTAATTAAATTCAAAAGCATTATTTCTGCACAAACAGGGATCCGCAACACTAGCTTTCAAAACACTGGCAAAGATGAGGAGCACAAATGCAAGCTATAAAAAGCAGTGAACGTTTTTTTTTTTTTTTTTTTTCTAATAGTATAATGCCAGCTTTAACATTCGGCGCGCAGAAATCCAGGGATGCTGGTGGATAGTCACACGAAGCTACCCCCAGCTCTGTTAATTACAAGATAGGGTGTGGAAGTGTTGAGGACCTGCAGAGTCAAGAAGGGCACCATCTTTTGTTTTTGACCTCCCCATGCAAGGCTAACAAAATGAAGGACACAGACTCGTCCCTACCACTCCCAATTGCCCTGGCCTGAACGTCCTTGAAGCGTCTACCCTCCCTCACATACATAAAAATGACAAGCTCTGACACATGCTTTCTCTTGATTCTGCAATAAAAAGCATGAAGGGCACAATAGCATCTTACTTCCCTTGGGGCTTGTATTTGCTAACACGGCAGCAATGACAATGACAGCATCCTGAAACTTTCGCTTGAAGTGTCCATCTTACTGATATTGTACACAAAAAACAATAAGAACAAATCACCATAAATAATTATTCACAACATGCCCCTCCTGCTAGGGCCTTTATGCCTAATAAATAAATAATAAATTCAGAATGGCTGCCCACTGATGATAAATTGCATATCAAGTCGTCTTAAGTGCACTGAAGTAAAACAAATGCCAAAAACATGTCTGTGTTTGTAGCCTGCAAAACATGGTATTATATATACCGTCCTAAGTGGCAAACCTTGCACGAGTATGCACATCATAATGCCTTCTAGTTTTCAAGCATGGATAAATATTGAAAAAAAAAAAAAAAGAAAAAGAAGTGAAAGCACAATGCATTGGCACCACTCGCTGTGCACCTTATATCACTGTCCCAGTGCAGACGGCTATCATATATTCAAATATACACGAAGTACTGTCCAGGCTCCAGCAATAAAAAAAGAAAAAGAAAAGAAAAACAAGAAACTTGGTAGTGTTAAACAATCTGAGACGTTCGACTAAATTCAAGTAGCAAAATAAATGCACCTTAAAGTTACGGTTCAGCATTGTCAATTTTTATTTTTGTAAGGTTTCCCACAGAACTTGATTTACTTTTATTCCCATCTGAAAATTCTTTGTTTCCGAGAATATATTTTTACAGAAAAACATTGCCTAACACTTTTTTTGTAGATAATTTTTCACATTAGGTGCACTGGGTTTTCTTATAGGCTTGCTAAACTTGTTGATGCTGAAACATGAAGCATGACTGATGATTTTACTTTTTGACACTCTAAGCCAACAGACAATTAAACAAAGAAAATCAAAGGTGACATTATTTATCGTTGCTTAACTGTACTGTAGCAATTATGACAAATGAAAACAACTTAATGTGGACAAAAAATTACATTTGCCAATGGTGAGGATAAAACCCACAATACTCCCAAGATTACATGTGCAGAAATGTCAAACAATGTGGATAAGGAACACCCAGATGCATAATTTGACGGTTGCTTTCCTTGGCATCAATGTCAGTTCACATCATTAGGTTATGTCTAACAGAGAAATCAGCCCCTCACGTTATTCCATTTTGTTAATGACACTGCAGTGGCATCTGATACACAAAATCCAATACTAGACAAATCGAAAGAAATACCGTAGTACAGCACACAAAATGCCATATAGTGCTACACCTCCCCCTTCCCCACTGATTTCTCTGCTGAAGCACCCCTGTGGTTTCTTGTTTTTGTAGCCGCAGCAGAAAAAAAGAGGAAAATAAGAAGAAACCTAAAGACTGGTAAGGCAGCAGACTGACTGACATGCTCCTTGTTTGGAACACATTTTGAGCTGCATCCACGTACCAATGAGTGTAAGCAGTGTCCTAAATTCATTTTCACTGACACTTTACAGTCAAAACATATTTCTGGGAAAACAAAGTAAAAACCATAATTACCTGGCTTCCTTTCTTTCATATTTTTTTTCCCTCAATCTGCACCATATATATATATACTGAACCCTAATTGTAAGACAGTGCCACATCAAAAATACAAGATAAATTCCCCCCAAGAAGCATGATAGGGCATCTTTCTTTAGTTCCTCCACACTTCAGGAAAGAGGCACCTAATGGGTGCTATTAGTCTAAGTGTCCACTAGAGCAACAGGTCATAAATAACATGCAAATTGCCAAAGCCACCCAGAGCAATGACACAGAAGACCACATTCGCATTTTTTTGAAGACTGCAAACTCTAGGTAAGTAGGAACTGTCATAAGCAAGTCATCAGAAATATTGTAACGAGTGCAACACAAGCTGAGGATATATATCACTAAACAAGCCACTTCTTCGATCCTGGGGGTAAAATAAAATGAAATGCACAAAGCTTTTTGATCTTACATAAAGCTAAGGCACCAAAATGCCACAAGGATACTGATCAATGAAGGCACAGTTCTGCTCTGGATCCAGGACCTCAAGTAAAGCTGCAGCAGGGTCACCATGAATTCCAGGTGTCTAAAAAAAAAAAAAAAAGGCTAATGAAATGCTTCATCATAAACAACAAGTACATAAGATTAATGTGCAAAATTCAGTTCTTCATGCCCATCCTTTACAGATCACCCTATGTTAATAAGATCTATAAAGATGGACTAACACATAAAAGGCTTCACTGCAATGCCACTATAGTCTCCAACAAAAATATCCCAGCTCAACATATTTTACATCAATAAAAGGTTCAAATGCATTAAGCATTTTCCTGTTAAGATTTGTGTTGAAAGCTATACTGAACAGAAAAAAAACTTGGTGCACTAGTCAAAGCTACACGAAAAGGCAATCTGTTGTGTATTCGTATTGGTTCTGCGACGCCACCAGAGATGGCGCTGTGATCTATGTACCTGTTTGTCGTGTATATAAGTCCACCGTACAATAAACACCGGCAGTCGTCGGTAGCCCATGGCGGCAGTCATGTGTACGAGTTTCTCTCTTCCGTGATAGCGGCTCACCGCGCCGCAATACCACATTGGCGACGAGGATGGCCACCGGTATATCTCCCCCGTCGCCGTTCCTTGAGACTCCGGGCACGCCAGCGATTCCTTGGCACCGCTGGTTCCGGTTGTTCCATAACTTCGTGCTCGCGTCCGGCGCCGACGAGTGGCCAGCATCCCGCCGTCGCGCGCTCCTGCTTCACTGCCTGGGCCCCGAGGGCCAACGGATTTTCGACGCCTTGCCGGCACCGCCCCCACCCCAGCCGCCACTTTCAACTGAAGCCACGGTCAGCAAGTCGACGGAAAAACAGACGTCCGCGCACACCGCTGCCGCAAGCCCTCCGGACCCATACGACGTTGCCGTCGACACACTGGCACACTACTTCACCGCCACCGTCAACGTCCGAGTGGAACGTCATCATTTTCGTGATCGTCGACAGCTTTCCGGTGAGTCGGTTGCCGAATTTGCTTTGGCGCTCCGGGAACTGGCAGCCCCGTGTAATTTCGCCGCTACCGTGGATGATAACTTGTGCGAACAGTTCGTTGCCGGAGTAACTTGCCCGCAACTCAGAGAACGACTGCTCCTCGAAGGCGAAGCATTGACATTCGACCGAGCGGTAGAAATTGCCAAACTTCGCGAACAAACTCGCCGAGAAGCTGAAGCCTTCGCGAACCCGATTCACTGCATTATGCAGCGCCGACGCAGACGCAACCCGGCTAGGCATGATAGCCCCCGATTTCGCTTCAACGGGTCCCGCCCCCCTAGTCAGCATCGTCGTAGCTCGTCGCGCACTCGCCAAAACTACAAGCCCAAGCCGGAAACTGCCGCTGCCGACCCCCTGCACGCCGTATCTCGTGATAACTGCGATAACTGCAGCGCAACAGGATGCGAACGGTCGCGCTGTCCCGCCCGCGGCCGCACCTGTTATGGTTGTGGACGCCGCGGACACTTCTAGAGAGTTTGTCGGAGCTCGCGTCGCGGCCAACCACGAAGGCCTGCACCAGTCCGCGAACTCCTCTGCGACGATGACGCTGAGAGCGGTCACAGTATTTTGACCATTTGCACAAACAAACGCAGAGGCCTGTATGGTGACGTCGACGTGTCGGTGATTAACCCGAAGCCGCTCACGCGCAAAGTCTCGTTTCTCATCGACACAGGCTCTGCAGTGTCAATAATTGGAGAAGGTCACTTTCGAAACCTTTTTCAAGATAAAGTACAACTCAGGACCCCCAGCATTACTCTGTTTGACTTTTCACGCCAGAAGATCCCTGTGCTTGGCCTGTTTGAAGCAACGCTGTCGTACAAGGCACGAACAGCCATCGTACCGCTTTACGTAACGCGCAGTGGGACCTCCCTTTTGGGATTAGATGCTGTGCAAGCCCTGAATTTTCAAATTTCAGGGAAGGAGCTACGTTGCCTGCACACGGTCGTTCAGCAAACGTCCGCCTCCGCAACCTCAACGTTGCCTGCAACGAGCTCAGACGCACAAGGGCGCATTCCACCGCAAGCAACCGCAGAGCGAGCCAAAGTTTGGCATGCCTGCATTGCTGTGGGCCAGGTTTTCTCACCTGTTTACCCCAGGTTTGGGCCTTGTCAGAGGTTTTCAGCACAAGGTGAAGATGAAACAGGCAGTCTCCCCAGTCGCCCAAAAGTTGAGGCGCCTCCCATTCTCAGTATGCCAACCAGTAAGCGACCAACTACAGACCCTGCTCTCTGCCGACATCATCGAAAGGATCGATGCCTCCGAATGGCTTTCTCCCATCGTCGCAGTCCAGAAGGAAGATGGAAGCATCCGTCTTTGTGTTGACCTAAGGGAGCCAAACAAAGCCATTGTGGTCGACAACTTCCCGCTGCCTCACACTGAGGAACTGCTACATGCCTTAAACGGAGCCCGCCACTTCTCAAAGCTAGACCTCGCCTCTGCGTACCACCAAGTCCTGCTGCACCCGGACAGCAGGGATCTCACAGCGTTTGTTACGCACGAGGGTCTTTTTCGGTTTAAAAGGGTCTGCTTTGGATTGGCGTTGGCCCCAGCAGCCTTTCAGCAGCTCATGACAAGAACTTCCTCATGACAAGGCTGTCATGGTGTTCTTTGTTACATAGACGACATCATCGTCTTCGGGAAGACTGAGAAAGAACATGCGAAGAACCTGGAAGAAGTTCTGCATCGCATTGCGAAAGCAGGTCTGAAACTTAACGAAAAATGTGTTTTCAATGCAACAGAACTCTCTTTCCTTGGACATCGTGTCAGTGCGGAAGGCATAGCACCCCTTCAAGCCATGCCTTCCGCACTGACAAAGTCGATGCAATCGTCCACGCCCCCACACCAGCAGAACCCGGCACACTCCATTCATTCTTAGGACTTGTCGAATACTACGCAAAGTTCATTCCTAGGCTAGTCGAGGAAGTCGAGCCTATGCGTCGACTGCTGCGCAAAGACATACCTTTTGAGTGGGACACAGCCGCCCAAGCTAGTTTTGAGAGAGTGAAGACTCTTCTGGCCTCCCACAAGGTGTTGCACATGTTTGACCCAGCTCTTCCAGTGACTGTCACAACTGATGCTTCTGCATACGGGCTAGGTGCCGTTTTGCAGCAAGTGGACGGTCAGAAAACCCTGACCATTGCGTTTGCTTCGCGCACTCTAACCAATGCAGAAAGGAAGTACTCCGCCAGCGAGCGTGAAGCATTGGCTTGCGTGTGGGCATGCGAAAAGTGGCATGTTTATTTGTGGGGACGGCCTTTCACTCTTCAGACGGATCACCAGGCATTGGTAGCGTTGCTGTCTAACAAGGGAACAGGGCGACGTCCCTTTCGCATTGCAAGGTGGGCTGAGCGACTTCTACGCTACAACTACACCGTCGAATACTGCAAGGGCTCGGAGAACAAGGTAGCAGACGCGCTGTCACGTCTTCCAGCGGAAGGTAAGCCGGAATGCACACCTCAACCTAAAGACGACTCTACAGAAGTTGTGTTCCTAGTCGAGCCGCTGTGCATCGCTAAGGACCAGTTCGAGCAGTCCACCAGTGACGACGACACTCTGGCAAAAGTCAAGGAATACGTTACTTCGTCATGGCCTCCACACAAGCTCGTCCCAAGCCATCTGCTGCCGTACTTCATGCTACGCAACGAGTTGTCAGTGGTAACCAACTTACTTCTTCGTGGGGAGCGACTTGTAGTTCAACAGTCCCTTGCGCATCAGGTAATCTCCACAGCGCATGAAGCTCGTCCCGGCATCGTCAGGACGAAAGCGCGACTTCGAGAACGGTTTTGGTGGCCGGGTATGGACCGGCAAACAGAAGTCGCAATACAAAACTGCAGCGTCTGTCAGAAGGCCGACAGGAGTGCGAAAACGGCACCTGCTCCACTGCAACCTGTTCCATTTCCAGAGCGCCCTTGGCAAAAAGTCGCCATAGACATTGTTGGCCCTCTGGAAAGAGCTCCTCAAGATTGTAGGTTCGCCATTACACTGGTTGACTATTTTTCTAAGTGGCCCGAAGTACAATTCTCCAACGAGGTATCTACAAGAACGATCACCAACTTCTTGCTGTCAATTTTTTCTCGCGAGGGATACCCTGACGAGATAGTCACTGACAACGGGCCCCAATTTTCTTCACGAGAATTTTCGCAATTCTTGGATGAGCGTGGTATCCGACTGACACATTCTTCGGTGTATTACCCTCAAGCCAACGGACTTGTCGAAAGGTTTAATCGTGTTTTTAAGGACTTTGTACAGGTTGCTGCGTTAGAACATGGCCCTCTTCGACAAGCGGCACTGGAGTACTTGGGTGTTTACCGGTGCACACCTCACGCAACCACGGGAGTAGCACCAGCTTTGCTCCTACATGGACGACTGCCCCGAACACGACTGGACATCATTGGGCACCCATCCCCATCATTCTTCACAGACCCTGCCAAAGAACTTGGCCTGCTTCGGAAGAGAGTCGCACAGAAGCAAAAATACAGCAAGATGTACACAGACTTCCGCCGTGCAGCCAAGAAAGCAAACATAGCAGTTGGAGACATGGTCCGTGTGAAGAAGCCGGCATCTTTTAGAGAAGACCTCTAGTTCAGTCGTTCTCGGAAGGTGGTGGAACAACAAGGGCCAGCCTCTTTCTGCCTAGACGATGGGCGAACATGGAACTCCTCCAAGTTGAGCAAGGTTCCTGCATAGGCCGCCCAGCCTCACCCAGTCATCCAAACGCCAGATGTTCACGCTCACTCAGCACAGCCTTCAAGCCCGTCACCTGTGCCTTGGTGACAGTGGGCAATCAGCAGTGCCACTCAGTACCCCCCTCAGTGAAGTGCCTAGTGTTCTGTGCAGCCCTTGTGTAGCATCGCAAGAGACACAACAGGCTGTCTCTTCTCCACCCTCTCCACAACCGCCTTCTCGTCGGGAGCTACCCGCGAAGACGAGACGACCGCCTCGAAGATTTATGGATTACGTTTAGAGTGGATCCAGTGACATGAACGCGTCTGCTTGCTGCAATTGACACTCTTGCAATTGAGTGTATATTTTGGTGTAAAGTTTTTGGCATTTTGAGTGTACAGTTGTGTAAATATTCCATGCTTGCTGTATATAGATGAAATGCCTCTCCACTAACACGTACTAACAATTACTAATCAACTAAAAAAAAAATAAGAGAGGGAATATGTTGTGTATTCGTATTGGTTCTGCGATGCCACCAGAGATGGCGCTGTGATCTATGTACCTGTTTGTCGTGTATATAAGTCCACCGTACAATAAACACCGGCAGTCGTCGGTAGCCCATGGCGGCAGTCATGTGTACGAGTTTCTCTCTTCCGTGATAGCGGTTCACCGCGCCGCAATACCACACAATCATGTGCAGTGATTTCCTATCGGAACTGGACTTCTAACCCATAGACTCGAGAAGACAAACAGGAACTATATATTAAACCATTTTGCAATATTCTGCACACTGCAAGCACAAGTGCATTAAAACAAACAAAATTTCATGTTATCATCACCAATATCGGCCTATTTTATGTCAACTGCCAGACAAAAGCCTCCCCTAATGGTCTTCAAGAAAGCCCATCCTGTGTGCGCTGAATCCACTTTAAGCCTGCCAATTTTTCAATTTTGTCGCATCAGCTAACCTCTTGTTCTCGGCTACCCCTTGGCATCGATAATGACTCTTAACTGACCATGAATTATTCATTATTCTAGCGACTGTGACATAACCTGCCCAGGTCCCCCCCTCCCCTTATTTTTCTGCTTAATGAGCCAGTAAACAACCTCGAAGTCCAACAATAGTTATGAAAAGAAATATGCGCATTTTTGCTATGTGAACATGTTGTCACAAAAATTATTCAAATGCGTCCTATAATAAGGAAGTTACAGGGATAAGAACATCTGTATCAGCAGGTTTCAAATTTTCCTATGGCCTTGCCACCATTTTCTGCAAAAGGGAGGGGAAAGGTGTAGCCTGTTGTCATGACTCCGCCCACTTCAGCAGCGTGACATGACATCAGCAATACGTCATCTGTGCGCAGCCAACAACCGAGCAGGGCATCCTCAACATGAGCATGTGTTATAGCGGCGCGGGAAGAAAACGCAGTTCAAGCAGCACCCCTCCCCTAGCAATAAAGTAGCAAGACACCTCTTTATCACAGAGGCTTTCATTCTGGCACTACTGCTTCTCCTAGTAGTCTTGGGCTCTACAAAACGGCAGAGGGCAGCACAGGAAAACAAAAAAACAAACTGTGTGGTGAGAACTGCATCACCCCAAGGCCAAGGCACTGTTTCATAGGGCAAAGGACAATCGACGAGCTCAGTGTACGTAAAGTAGCCCATGAGCAAGCTTTAGTCACTGAGCGTGTACGAGGAGGATTGGTCAGACGAAGCAACCAGGAACGGGATTGTTTTTCTAAATGGAGAGTCTGTACGACATGCAGCGCTATAATATGTATTCAGAAAATGTGATCGTCGTGGTCTACTGTACGAGTTGTATGGTCTACTGTACAAGTTGGGGAGTTTGTTTGCGGGGTGTAAAAAGAGTTGGAGCCTTTTTTCTGGCCCTTAAATGTCAGCTATAGGATACTGGTTACCCCTGTTTATTCTTTGATCCACTCTGCTGTCTTCGTATCTCTTTGCAATACTTACTTCTCTGCCTCCTTTCATTCAATCATATGTTGTGTGGTCCTTACCTTCTTCATTTTCTTTGTTATTCTCCAAGTTTCAGCCTCATGTTAGAACTGACAAGATGCAATGGTTGCACGCTTCCCCTTTTAGTGACGGTGGTAATAATTTCATGTACAGAAAAGTAAAGCTTGTGAACATACTTAGAAAATGCATGCATGCAACGTAACAATGTATAACTGAGTTTCTGCATGGACATTTCACAGCAGTATTGCACCTTCCTGAAGTTTTTTCAGGCACAATCTCAATTGTAGAAGAGCTCACAAAGTTTATCACATATATTAACAAAATGCCTTCTACATAAATATGCAGTTTTAAGCATGAAAACTGAAATATGCTAACAAATGTACTCATCTCACCATTTTGTCAATTTCATCCAGCAAAAACACAGGGTTTTTGACACCAACAGTTCGCAGTCCTTGGATGATTCTGCCTGGCATAGAACCAATGTACGTCCTGCGATGACCCCTAATGTCTGCTTGATCACTCACTCCACCCAATGATATCCTGCAAAAGATATGACCAACATCCTATACCAGGCAAAAGACAAAAAATGTTAGAAATGATTCATTTAAAATTATCATTTGTACATAAACCTACAAGTGAGATTCCCTCCCCATTCCTCCAGATAGACACAACGAATCTAACATTTTCACAATAAATTTCACGATTAAAGAACGGCAAGAAAAGTGTTCACATTTTACCACTAGTACAACTAACTTAACAGCCTCATCCCAGGCTTCACTGCAAATTTTCTTTATACAGTGGACGTTCGAAGAAGTCTAGAGAAAATTTTACCAAAACACTTATAAAAATACATTCATTGTTATACAAAAAGTGAACTGTCCTTTTACCGTAGCACCGGCCAGGCAGTGAGTATACCATTTCTCTATTATCAGCTCAAGCCTCTCACGGTCACAACATCTACAAGCAGCACTTTTTCAAGAAAAAAAGAGAAAGATACATAATAAAGAAAAAAAGCTGTAGGTTTTCTTGTAGCTTCATGCTAAAACTGGGTAGACTTAGAGTTTCCTCTAAAAGGGCTCTCAAATGCAAAACGAAAGGGCACGCAGAATTCTGAATGAAGTAATGAGCTTCCAGTTGTTTAATAAATGATATTCAGCTCGGACACAGCTCAGCACATTATTGCCCAATGACTACACAAATTGATTTATCACAGTTATAAAGTATCGAAAGGTACCAATCATAGGAAGCAGCAGTTATCTCCCTGGTCACAAAGCAAACCCACACATAGACAGTCTTGCAAGCGAATAAATACAGGCACACTGTCAGTATGCCAGCACTTGGAATGTGTGCATTTCATGATAAGCAGCTTTTATCAGGAGAAGCAGGTTTACATTTGACATAGCTACTTTTAACAGTGCAAAAAACAAGTGAAAATGGAGACATTGGTCAAAGGTTGTATGTGTCCAGTATGTTCCTTATTTATTTTGCAGCCGACAGTTATTATTAAAATCAAGTTCACATATGCCATTGGGCATAGAAAATACATACCTGTAGAACTCGCGGCCCAAGGAGCGAGCTATAGAACGTCCAACACTGGTCTTTCCAACACCAGGAGGACCCACAAAGCACAGGATAGGACCTTTCAGAGAGCTTTTCAGCTTCCTCACAGCCAAGTATTCAAGAACGCGCTTCTTAAGTTTTTCCATTCCATAATGATCAGCATCCAAGTCATACCTGAAAAAGTTAAACTGATGTAGCAAATAATTTACAAAAGATAAGTTTTCATAATGAGTATAGAAACATCTGGAGATGAGAGCCACTATAAAGAAGAGCTATATAAATTTGAAGCACCTGGATTTTGCAAGGTCCACTACTTCTGGAGAACTTTGTGCCCAAGGCAAGTCAATAAGCAGTTCCAAGTAATTCCTTGTCATGGCATGCTCGGGCATATGCGGTGGCATCTTCTTCAGCCTCTGAAAGTAAGGTATTCAAATGATCTATCACTACATGTTTATAAGAATGAAAACCAGCAAAAAAAATTCACTGCTCCTCCTACTGCTCACAGAGCTGCCACCACAATAGCTTCATTATCAAGGTAACTATTTAAAAGTACAGAGGCAGCCTGAAAATTTGGGAAAAATTACCTGTAATTCTTTTGTTGCTACTTTTCTAGCATGATCAGGCATTTCAGCTGCCCTGCAAAACAAAGAAGGAACAAAGTAAGAAGAACTACATGATCAACATTTACCGTGAACATATATTTTTTAATGAAATGGGTGGAGTGAATGTGCAACTTGGCTACAATAACAAGTTCAAGTACTCCACATGAGTATTAATTATGCTCACAGAAATCTAACAATTATGTTTACACAATTCTCCTAGGAAATATTGAAAAACTTATGTCACAGTGTCAAATGGTCAGCATGCCAGGTTATGGCCCAGAACCAGTAAACCGCTGTCGTAACATAGGTTATTCTGGATAATGTAATCAGATTATGTCAGCTGTGACACATCAATGAGCCTGATAATTTTAGAACAAATGTACACTTGGCGTGAAAGTGTGTACACTCAATTTGCCCCTCTAAACCTTAGGTCAGCATACACATGAGAACAAAGGGTCATTCTTGATTCACTCTCATTTCAGAGGTGGGAGGGAAGAGTAAATGGGCCATGATAATCACAAGTGGATGTGACTATGAAGAGAAAAGAGGGCTTTCAAGTTCAGCCAAAGTGAGTGTGAACAGGAGCGAGTTTCAGTTAACATATGAATGTGAGTGGTTATTGGCAATTGTGACTGAACGTGTGTGTTCTCAAACCACATCCAAATACAAACAGGATACAATGAAATAATGGTGTAACAAAGTCAATTTAAGTGCACATGAATTTACCATAGACATCTATATATATATATATTTAATACCTAATATCAATTAAGTAAATATGATCTACCAATGAAAATAAACTGCAGTCGGATACAACTTTAGAGCAAAGTGGCATTTCCACCTAAAAAGTGATAGCACACAAGCCTGCACCAATGAGTGTATGCTCTAAAGAGGCAAAAAGTGATGAGAACAGTTGCGCAGACTTCCTGGACAAAAACAAAGCAGGTCGAATGCAGTGTAGCACTTGTGGCAAATCATTACAAAATTTTTTTAATGATTATGTTGTAGAATGCAAACTACACAAAACTAGCTTGACTAATAATAATAATAATGTGGTAAATACAAAGTCCAAATAAAAATTTTAAAAATGTACTAACTTTATTTTTTTCTCCAACAAACCAACCTCATCTCCTTCCTCAAAATCATCATCATCAATATCCAGCTGTTGTCTTGGTCGATGAGGTGATCCCACCTTTTCAATATGAAAAGCACGTGATGTGCTCCCATCCTTCTTTGCTTGATGCAAGAATTGAAGACTCTTTAAAAAATAAAAAATAAATAAATGAATTTTCACCATATGTAGAGATTCTCTACAGCAACACTGTACCCGGAATCAAACAATGTTACACTAGGAATAAAAACTTCAATATCTGCATATCCCATCTGTGGGATCTGCTAACTCAATATATAAAACATTATTACACTCAGAACCCTTTAGAACAAAACTATATTATGCTATCTAGATCTGAGTCATGCTTTTTTAATGAACAGCTTCTGTGATGACTGATCTCGCATCACTCTTTCACTCCACTGCTTATGTTTGGAAGTTTACTAGTGTTCCAGCACTGACTGTCAATAAACCAACAGCTGGTGCTCCTTTGTATATTCTCTTTCCATTCCTCATGTTCTTTAACATAGCGCCAGGAATAACATAGTTAGCAATCGTAGACTCTCCGTTGTTTTGATAATTTTGTACAGCATAACTTCAGCACTCTGCCGTAACAACCTGATTTGCCTCAAATACAGTGCCATGCTCTGGCCACTACACTTGAATACTGGCACATTTTGAAAATTTAGCACAGGTACACAACTCTTTGTGCTCATTTCAGTACTCGTAATCAAGTTTCGTGCTCTTTTAATATTTTGAATAGAAAAAGTGCTCTGCAAGTTCAATCGAATATTCAATGCATCAAATATTTGCACAACTATACTTACAATGAACGTGAGGGCCTTCCTGTACAATTCTTCTCCAGGATTGCACCGATTTCAAACACATGGGGCCCACCACTTCCACTCAATAATTTCAAGTTATTCAATAAAAATGGCTTGCTTTCTGGCATAATACTATTGTCTACATAAAATTTCAGTGTGATTTATTGTTAGGCCAGTCTTAGTGTTTGATCTAATAAATGACCAAGTATGGTTCTGCAGTGGCACAGTTCTCTCCTACAGTTAAAAAGAGAGAAACACACTATATGTACTTGGTAACAAGTTTCAGTATAGTGGAGATACAGCCAGTTTAGGATTTGGAGCGATTTCTGGAAAAGGTAAAAAGCTGTTTTGGAGCAGACAGGGAGCAGAAGGAACAGTGTTTAGAAGCAGACAAAATGCAGTTTGAGGTCGCCTGGTGTAGTACAACACCAAGTCTGCATCTTTTTAAGGCATATTATTATTGATATGGAACTAGAAAATGCTCTTTTGAAAACAAACAATCAGACAGTCATCATCAATTAGGCTGCTTAAACAAAGAAATGCCCAATATAGACTTCACTGCAGCACACATGCATCTTGTGGTGAAACACTAGCGACAAAGCGAGTGTGAAACACACGCTGTTTCTGCAAGTGTCAAAACGTCATTCTAGCTTTCGAGAGGAGAAGGAATTACTGACCCGCCAGTACCCCTCTCTCTATTGTTACTTCTCGCAGCTGTCAAGAGATCTCAAACTGGGTTCCGTGAAGGGAGTAAGGTTCAGTGAGTGCTGTGGGCCTACGAAGTACTATTACTTTTTCTCCGTGTTGTCATGCTTTGTGCCGCTGGTACTGCCCATTTGGGGGGTTTTGATGAATTTTGAAGCAGTCGAACAGGAAGGACTAACATGGAATAGTGTTCCATATTATGTAGTATGGCATAGGCTGACTGAGAACTGATTTATACAGTTTATCAATTTAGAGAAATGACTTTGCATTGCACTTTGGATTTAATGAAGCCACCACAAGTGAATCTGCACTTGCATAGTCTATGAGCACCGAGAAACTCATGTGGCAGCAGTGCTCCAGACATGTCAGATTATCGGGCCTACCGTGGCCATATGAATACACACAAGTTTAGTTCATAACATGTGCATAGGCGAGAATCAGTTGGGAAGTTTTGCATGCTGAAAGTGACACGTCTGGCTTTTTTTTTGGCAATTGACAGCAATATTCACTGCCCAAAAAGTGTTTTATAATGAATATGTGAGTGCAGCCACGCATTACTCAAGGCTCACTCAACATCATGTACAAATCGCTCACTTTCTATGCACACTGGTTTTCCACTGCATCATTTCAGTCTCCCAATTAATGTAAGCGATGAGTGCTTTGATGTGTGCGAGTGGCAGTGGAAACACTTCATGCACTAATTGTGCTCATACATTTAATCTTTGCATTCTGATTAGTCTGCCAAAGAACTTTCCACATTACAATTAACATAAAATGCTCTTTTTGCTTTTTTGCAAAACATCCAACAACATTATGTCCCAATATTTATTTGTATGAAGAAGCCTAGTGGTTTTGGCATGCAAAACCATATAAGTTATTAATATCATGTAAGAAGACACCGTTCACAGGGTGCAGTGCATAAAATGATATCCGCATAGTCAGCGTGCACTACATTACAAGTTATGGCGTTCCAGCGCTGAAGAAACAAAAACCGGTTCTAAGGTTTCGCTTCATTTCGATAAACTAAAAGTTGATGGCAAACTGTATGTGTGAGACGCACTTCGAAATTGCAGGACAGAGCTGTCTCAATCCACTGCGTCTGCGCAACCCGAAAAGTCGACTTCTCGCTTCACTCGGGCAATCGCTCGTAAACGCGATAATAAGGGACAAGCCAACAAAACTCTTTGGATTATTTCACTCAATGCACGAAGTGTCTTAAATAAAATACCGCTTCTTGAAGATATAATTTCCACCTACCAACCACACGTTTTGGTAATCACAGAAACCTGGCTGCATTCTGAAGTGCAAGATTCTGAAATAGTGCCATCATCTTACACCCTTATCCGTAGGGACAGAGGATCACGGGGAGGGGGCGTTGCAGTAGCGATTAAAAACAATGTCAAATTTACTCGTTTGGATGGTATAGATAATCACGAAAAGCGTGTGGTGCAAAATGAACTTTTTTCGTAAGAATATAATTTTGGGAGGTGTTTATCGGCCTCCAAATGCACCCCCAGAATACTTATAAGCACTCTACAATTACCTGCTATAAAATACAAATTCACGTTCAACCATTTTTATAACTGGGGATTTCAACTTGCCCAGCATTAATTGGCCCAATCTTTCACATGATGGCAAGGACTCTCGAAATGCTGAATCACTGTTGTTAACTGCATTTACTTTTTCTTTGAATCAATTGGTTTCTGATGCTACTATGATTAATAGTTCTTCTGTACTAGACCTAGCGTTTGCAAGCAGCTCGCTCTAAGAGTGTTCGGTCGCTGTGAAAGAAGGTATCTCTGACCACAAATTACTCTTTGTAGAGTGTCCAATTTCAGGCTTCCGACCCACTATTCAACATTCCGACTCACTTGTCAGAGACTACAAGCATGCGCTCGATGATGCCGCACTTAATTACATGGAATCCTCATTTCCTTCTTTCAGCGATTTGGTTGACGTTAATGAATTGTGGTCACGTTTTAAAGCTATAGTATTACACTGTGAAAGCAGCCATGTGCCATTTAAAAAGAAACGTATTAACAGATAATACCCATGGATGAACCGTGATTTGATTCATATGAAGCGCGAAATCAAACGATGTCGTAAACGTGGTGACAAGAAACGGCTACAAAGTCTAGTACATATTTTTCATAAAAAGATGCATGTAGCAAGAGACCAATTTTTTTCGTCTACTCTGTCTTCCTTTATCACAGACCAACCCAAAAAATTTTGGCGTCACTTATCGAAAAATAAAAAAAGCATCACAGAGATAAAAACATCCGACGGAACTACCGTACTGATAATGCTGCTGTCATTGCTCAAAGTTTCAACGCCTTTTTTCAATCCGTATTTACGCAGACGACCTCACACGCGCACTTGCCAGCTTATACGCTCGTCAAACATATGCCTAAAGTATATTTAAGTAAAGAAGGTATTTTTAGCCTCTTGTGTAAATTAGACACAAAGAAATCTCCGGGTCCTGATGATATATCAAACGTTTTTCTTAAAAGATATGCAATCTGGGTCTCAGAATATTTTTATAAGATATATGTAACTTCCTCAGAAACTTGTGTGATACCCGATGACTGGCGCTCTGCGAGAATAGTCCCAATTCATAAATCTGGCTCACCATTAGAATTAAACAACTATAGGTCAGTTTTCCTTACATCCACAGCTTGTAAGCTACTAGAACACATAATATTTAAGGCGATTATGACACACCTGGAAGACAATAAACTGCTTCACGACAACCAACACGGATTTAGGTCTGGCCTATCCACTTCAACTCAATTAGCCAAGATCACTCATGGCTTTGCAAATTCACTAAACCTTAAGGGCCAGATCGATGCAGTGTTTTTAGATTTTTCTAAAGCGTTTGATGTTGTACCACAGGATGATTTAATTACGAAACTGTCAACTATTGGTGTTGATCAGAACATTGTCCGTTGGGTTGCATGCTATTTGTCATCACGGAAACAATAAGTGAGGGTCAATGACGGCGTTTCTGACTCATTAGATGTACACTCAGGAGTGCCGCAAGGATCCATGCTTGCATCATTATTGTTTTTAGTATATATAAATGATATTTATTTCTCAGTTCAATCACCTGTGAAAATCCGATTTTTTGCGGACGATTGTGTTATTTATGCCGACATTGTTCAGTACTCTGATCAAGCCAGACTCAACGATGCGTTGCAATCCATCTGCGCCTGGTGTGGTAAGTGGGGTTTAAAGCTCAACGCATCAAAAACGGCATCCATCACAGTTACAAACAAACAAAACCCATTAGAATTACAATATACTATTAATAACGCTTATGTTAAAGAAGCTACGCAAATGAAATATCTGGGTGTCACGCTTACAAGCAATTTAAATTGGGAAGCTCATATAGATAACATCTGTAGCAATGCGCTAAAAAAGTTGGCATTTTTAAAACGTAAACTGAGTCGCACTTCACCTTCTATAAAACTAATAGCTTACAAGGCGCTTATCAGGCCTAAGTTAGAATATGCAGACCTGGTCTGGGCACCGTATCAAAAATACTTAATTAAAAAATAGGATCCAAAACCTGGCTCTAAGGTTCATTTATTCTAGCTACTCTCGTTTTGCTAGCATCTCTGCTCTTCGCAAGAAGGCAAATCTGAAAACACTCGCTCATCGTAGAATAGTCTCTCGATTAAAATTCATCTATCAATTGTACCATGGTCACTTCAAAATTCCACCAAATCGCTACATGACCAACCCGTCCGTGCGCTTTGACCGTATTCATCATAATAAAACAGTTATAAAACCATTCAGTCATCTGAACGTTCATCAGTACTCATTATTCCCTCATGCTCTTTCATTATGAAATAAGTTACCTCAGGAGGTCGTTAATGTGGACATGACACAATCGTTCGCCATCTCGTCAATGACCTAACACTTGATTTTTAATATGCAATATATTATGTTCCTCATTAGTGCTGAGACTTTTTGTATTTCAGTATGAATGCCATTATTGCTATGCATTATTTATACTCTCCCTGATGTTGAGAATTTCCTTGTTTTTGTACCAATTATTGCATTTTCTTATATTTTTATATTCTGCTTTGTCACTGACATTTGTTACCCACTCCTGCTTGGGCCCGAACAAGGCCTGCAGTATTTGTAAATAAATAAATTAATAAATTACAATAAGCATAGTGGCTTGACAAAAATAATCACTTGTCTACGAATATAGCCAGTCTCTTAGTAAGGGCAATGAGCTTCAGAACTCTAGACAAATAATAGAGATATAACGAGAAAACCACATCAGTGGAATGTGGGGTAGTGGGTATTGTGGCAGTGAAAAAGCTGCACGTATTTGGTACCAAGTTGAGAATTTCGGGCCTGAAATGCTACATTGCCATTTAAACCAACGAAATACGAGCTTTGGAGTAGTTGGTGCAAGATGCACTCGAACAGGCACCTAGTAAGTAAGAAAAAATATTTGATGTCTGGTTATATATATATATATATATATATATATATATATATATATATATATATATATATATAGCGAGCTCTCTCTCTCTCTTTTTTTTTCAATGAACAGTGCTGTGTAAGAGAATTTCACCATTCAGACACCTGTACTGTTTTTTTTATATAGCACAACAACAAAATGCAAAAGTTCTCTAAGACGGTTTCTGGGCATTTGGATATGCTAGAAGTTACTGGTACTGGCGTTACTGCAACCCACATCAGAGGTTCTCACCTCAATTACAACACAATGATACCAGCTGGCCATAAAAAAGCACATACTGTACAGAGCCCCTGAAAATCACACCAACATTTCAATTACTCTTTTTTCTCCATGTTTTATGGTACATAACTCTATGACTCTATCGATACACCTCGCCTGTGTGAACACCACTACAGAGAATGATGTAGGTATATTTAAGTGCAAGGCAATTCATTAAAATAACTTGGTCTATTTTGATGGACATCCATTGTTTTATTTTAATGATAACTTTGTAAGAAACTGGATGAAAAAGATAAAGATTGAGAGGCTACATACCTTTTTATTAAGAATAATATGGTATTCAAATGACAACTGCATAAACCTTGATTTAAGTAAAGGTGGTTCTTATCATTGGATAGGTCAGAAAATCTCCACTGGTTCTTCATGTATTATTTAGGCCAAAGAAGCATCGCAAGAATGAGTATTAAAATATATTATGATTCAAATACATCATGAAATAAATCACCATGATTTACTGCATCTAACTATTGACACTATGTGCCACTCAGTGAGGAGAACTAAAATATTTGCCTGCTTACTTTCACTAAACTAGCTGTTTCATACTTGACTTTGGAAATAAGTAGCTCCGCCTGGTAGTTTATCTCATTGATCACTGTTTAATGCAGAAAATAACTTGAAATCCTTTTTATCATGTGTGACATCTTATGAGCCCCAAGGTACAAAAAAAAATTTTAAAAATAAATTGCTAAAACCTACAGAAGCGAAGTGATGAAGTGGAACTGTGCTCACTTCAATTTGTCGAATCAGTAAAGGTAGGGTTTTCTTGAAGCGCTCGGCCAAGTCGACTGCATCCAACACTTGAAGTCTCTCTGCATGAGTGGCCCTCACAATGGCAGCACATAAATCTGGCAAGCTCTGAATAGGAACAGAGGCTAGCAGGCGCTGCAAAACAGAAGCCATAACCACTTTTGGGCAATAGAAAACATGAAATCAATTTATAATTTCATGCACAGAGACACACACAGTAACAGTAATTACCTGTCCTCACTCTCAGTCTAATGAGAGAGGGAACAAGTAATTTACATTGAACCAAGTTTCACACAAAGGCACACGCATACACATGAACATAAAGAGTGAAGAGTTATCACCTTCAGTCGAATGATGGAAGGAACAGACAGGTCAAGCATGTCTATTAATTTTGTGGCCTGCTCCCGAAATTGGTTCATCAGCTCAGTCAATTCTGCGTCGTAATCGTCCATGTCCACTGATGTATATAAAAAGCAAAAGAGTACATCCTTATCAACAGGATCTAATTACAAAAAAAAAGAGAAACCAATGAAGAAATTGTGCTTCAAAGTTGCCTTAGACCACACACTGGCAACTAAAACTTGCAAAATTTTAATTTAAAAATGCAAACTGAAGCAGCACTGGACTTTTTACTGCACGACAAAAGAAAACTGGCGTAATACTTAGTGCTTCTAAGGGCAGCAGCAACATCATTTACAACTCTGAATGACTGTGAATAAGGTTTTCAGACATCAGTGATCCCATTGGCACTCATAATTATACAGTGCATATACATGTGTGAAATTAAGGAACAAAATGTGCTGTGTCCCATGACAACCAATAGCCCTTCCCAACTTAGTGCGCTTTTCCGCATGACACCAATGCACTGCAGAGAAAGTGCTATGCACCCCCCCACGTGACAGCAAAAGGGTAAACATTTTTTTAATCACGTTCCTTTTTTTTTCCCTCAATGCTCTGTTTTAAGAAAGATTTATGGCTGTGCCTACACAATCAAGAGAACTGCTCGAAATTCAGGAGTCTCTCAGGCAAATCGGAATAATTGCCAAGCATACAAGTAACATTTGTGTACATACTCTCAAGAATCAATACCCCACACTTTGACTGAAAGACACAGAAACGTTATGGCCTCGTGTATGTATTTTCTCATTTGGTGGGAGGTGGTAAAAGACCATAGGTGTGCCAATTTGCATGGTGGTATACATAGGAATAAAACCCCAAAGGCTTCTAAAATATCTGAATAATAACAGAAGGAAATTATGTGCAGTGGATACCAAATGTGCGTTTTGATAAAAGCTTTTTTTTCTTTTTTTAGATGATTAGGCATATCTATTTTGCACAATGATTAATATATTCCTCTTCGCAGTAAACTCTCAAAAACTTCTACATACTTAGATTGCTTTTTTTTACTTTTGATAGAAAGGCATGTAATATCTCTTTATTCATTTAGATACAAAAACATGATAAAACTGCCTTTTGCTACTCACAGCCAGCTTCCCCAGGTAACTTATCAAGTTGAGACACAATTCCCACGAGGTATGGTGACTCCTGGACAAGGCCATCAATACGAAAGCGGCATAGGCCTGTCACTAGAAGCGTGTATGAGGGCCTTGGCCAGTTAGTGCCTGTCACCTGGACGACAATACCTGCTGTTCCCAAGTTGTGCATAGACCATGTCTCCTCCTGCATGAGCATTTGTTTCAAGATACCTTACCCAGCTCAACACACATCATTAGCTGCACTAGTCAAAACCATGGCAATTTTAGGTACAACACCTCACCTGCATAACATTTGTCGCACGAAAAACCACATTGAGTTGTACTTATAATGCTATAATTACATGGAAGGGGAAGCTTTATGACACCATGTACTAAAAGATTTGCTAGTGCATGTAGTGTTTAAAATAGAAAAATAAACTGGTAAGAAATTAAACAAATGATATTTGATTCGATTGCTTAACTGGCACGCACTGAAGACCATTATGGTGAATCTTTACTCCTACAACAGACTGTTGGGCTAGTTGGTTATCCATGAACACTAAACAAATAAGTGCCTGTCCTGTGCCTGTTCCTCTTTTTGTGCTCGTCAGTTTTTAGCACTTATCTTTTCAGTCCTTATTCAGTAAAATGGTTTTCAATGCAGACTGTATGGCATGGACTTCTGTCATAGCACCTAATCTTGGCACAGTACCATTATCATTTGCCACCCCTTAACTTAAGATAAAACTTTAGTTTTGTTTCTGCTGGCAGGATGCACCGCTTAGCTGTGCAGTCAGATTCTGGCCAATAGAAAGTGTTTAAAAATATAGAATACAATACAGAAAAAATTGGCTGGGACACAATCAATCAAAAGAATAGGGAGCTAGCTAGTTAGCCAATTTGAAACACTGGGCAGACTATTGCAAGTTACAGGAATAATGCTAGGGCTTAATTTTTATACTAGTAAATCAAGACCTCACAGCACTGTGTTCATTTAGAACATTCAGTAAATTTACAGCACAGTGGTTTACAACACTTACTACATTTTTAATACTGTTTTGCCTCTTCAGAAGCAAGCTGCACACAAGAGCAAAAGACACTTGCACAATACTACTTCCAGGAAATAAAAGAAGGGGAATGAATCAAGGGCTCGTTTTTTTTTTTTTAGACACAACCTAATGAAGCTAACCAACAATGAAGCCAAGAAAGGCATAGGGTACATTATTTTTAGTTTTCAACTATAATACAGTAATTATGACATAATTGGAAAGGAATTAAAGTGGGCAAAAATATCTTGTCATGAGCAAGGACTGAATCTCTAACTTAGCATAATGCATCCAATGCTCTACCGATAGACCCCTCCCTAGATACGTCACATCGTGACATCACTGGTGCACATGCAAAGCAATGGTTGGCAAGACACCTACGCTGGTGGCTTAGTGTAAAACTATCGCATGGCACTTGTGGCAAATCTTTTCCTTTTTTTTAAAGCTTAAACCTCATCTTACTGTTGCAAAATTAGCTGAGGTATGTGTAAATGTGTGGTAAACTGCGTGACGAAAAACTTGCCATGCTGGCTGGCTGTTTATTTTGGAGAAGTGAACACACATGGTGTCCTGTGCGAGGAACGACGGCATTGTCTTCGAAAATGTGCAGTGTCTATTGTGCCATGAAGTGTGAATTGAAAGGCATCGGCAATATTGGTTCACATTTACGGACGGTGAAACTGAGACTATTGTGTGTGGTGTGTGCAGGGTGAATAACGATGCATCTTGTTTGCAAAAACATTGACACGCATCATGGGCCGTTGGCAGTGATCGGTTTTTGACGGAACATCACAGGTTGACATTTTAGTCAAAGTAAAAATACCTTTTAATGCAATCATCTGCCGGTGCATACATCTCAGCATTTTCGTTGCGTGCAGAAAAAAAATTGCTTGATCTCCGGGCTGAAGGATACAAAGCTATGCAAGAGCTATTAGCATGTGCTAACATTGACAAAGCTCCATATACACTTCGCCACGACAAATATGCAAACTAATAAAGGTATAACTCGTGCTATTGGAGACCTCATACATATTGCATGACAGCTTTAACAGATAAACCATCCACTTTTACATCAATCAAGTTCTGGTTGGTCGGGAGGATCAAAAGAGGAATTGTAGGGCACGTCATAGCAGCAGCGTCACCTCCAGGAGCTGCACCAGTTAGTTTCCCGAAGGAAACTGTCGGGTGAAGAAAGGAGATGGGAAACAGGGTGGCGGAGGAGACCATAAGAATCTACGCCGTGGTGAAGGCGAGTGGCTGTACTGGGCATTGGTCGTGGCGGTCATGTCGTAATGAGCTGAGTCATCACAACGAGGTGGTTCTTGGCCAGAATGGCGAGCTGATGTGTCGAAGTTCGTCAAGTTTGGGCTTGTGCGAGAGGGTGAGGTCCACGTGCTTCGGCAATGATGCGAAATGTGTCCCACTCGTTCGCAACGAAAGCGAATTGGCCTGTCGTCAGGCGTCCTCCATGCATTTGGATCTCGGTTACGTGGAGCAGGACGCCGGTAGTGCTGACATGTGTTCAAGGTAGGCGGATGGACATCGGGTCAATGCACAGAACAAATCGTCTGAAGGCCCGCGTTTGCCAATTCTTGGTGCACAACGCTCTGTATGAGGGATATGGTGGGCTGAGGATCGTTTGGCGTCAGGACCCTCAAGGGTGCTAGTGACATCGCTTCGATTTCGCGTCGAACGACCCTCGTAATGTCAGCAGAGGGTGGATTGGGCTGGGTCTCAAAACGGAGGTCTTCACAAGTTGATGTTGCTGATGTGTTAGGAAGACGGGTAAAGTGGTGGGCAATGCGACGGCTTTTAGCCTCTTGGAAGCGTCGGCACTCCTTAATGATGTCTTGAACTGTCGAACAGCCTTTAAATACAAGGAGGCTAAAGGCATCATCAGCGATGCCCTGGAGTACGTGTGCAACCTTGTCGGCTTCGGTCATGGTGTTATCAGCTTTACGGCAGAGGGTCAAGATATCTTGAATATAGGCATGTAAGACTCCGTGGATGTCTGGACACGGTTACCAAGCTCTTTCTTAGCAGCCTGCCTGCACCCGGCAGATTGGCCGAACAACTCGCGCAACTTCGTCTTACAGACTTCCCAGCTGGTGAGCTCTTCCGCATTGTTGTTGAACCACGCCTTGGCCGTGCCTTTCAAGTAAAAGATAAAGCTTGCCAGCATCATGGTTGGGTCCCATCAGTGGTTTTCCCTCACGAGCTCGTAGAGATGAAGCCACTCATCGACGTCTTCGCCGTCAGTGCCCGGAAAGTTGCCAGGATCACGGGGTGGAGTGGTCACAATGACCACAGGTGAGGTGGACGCCGTTGATGCGCGAGGCATGGCTATTGGCGCATCATCATTGTCGGTAGACATGTTAGAAGTGGCAACTTGGCGTCCCCTGCGAAGCTCCGTCGTGCTTTGCTACCCCGCACCTCCACCAAAATGTTACGGGAGGGCGCACAGAGAAACGAGGTTACAGCTAAGATATATTTGCACGACGCCAAGCCTAAGCCGAGATGGCAAGCGAGAGCGTGCCCCACATCCCAGTATCACGTCGCCTTGCTCGCTGTCTGTCTTGCTTCTTCAGCGTGATGTAGTCTTGTACCTAATCTAGTCTTGTACCTAATCTACTCTTGTATATTAATGAAAACAGTGGAGATTCTTGTTTCTCATATACTTTGTACCTTTACGGCGCAATCTTTACGATGTGACAATACGCATTGCAAGTTTGCATGTCAGAGCTAAAGGAGCAAAGCAAGTACATGCGAACACACTGTAGGCATCAGATGCGCAAGAGGTTATGTATATAATTAAGTTGGCGGTTTAAGATCGCACAAATTTTTAGTGGGTTCCGAGGAGAGCCGTAGGGGAGAAATCCGGTTTAATTTTCATGAGGATTTGTTAACCTCAGCCTAATAGATGGCAAAAGATGTTTCCTAGGTGGTTCCCCCCCCCCATTCATCTGCAATCAGAATTTTGCACAGTGAGCCACAATATAATCCGTGACCATGCGCAGAGCAACTCAAAACCCTCCTGCCGCCAATGCTATACCTTCTCTCAAAGAGGATATATTTTTTTGTAGCTGCTATCTATGACAAGCCAATTGCGACATGTTAATCTATGTAAGCAGTGACCCTTCCTTTTGAAAGCTGTGACTTAAGAAAATAGCTATTCACAGAAACTTCTGATGAAGGAATGCAGACAGATGCAGCACTGCTATGCAGAAGAAATTTGCCAGTGCAACTTCCTTGCCAACAAGCACATGCTCCGAGGGAGGGGATGGTGGGCGAGGTGCTCGCAGTGACGTCACACAGTTTGCAAGCCGGGAGAGATCTATTGAGTTATGATAGTGTTGTTCCCAGGTCCACTGTATTGAGTGTTTCTGTGCATATAATCCTGAGAGTGTTCATTAGCCTGCACCACTCAAAGCAATGATGGCAAGTGTCAAAGACATTTTTTTTTGCCAACTGGCATGGTGTAACATGAGCTGTTTTTTTTTCAAGCTGGTCGCTGATAAACAAGCCCTCACATGCTATCTAAAGGCTTTACAATTAAACTTGTTTATTTGAAGACAATAATAATAAAGAACAAAGCTGACTCATGTAGAAAACATCAACTTAGGCATAGAGATTATGTCTCATGCACTTTTGTGGTACTCCTATCATGCCAGTGATTGATAAAGCATGCGTCTCAGTAGTATACGACATCCAGTTTTATTATACCAGATTAATGTTTGTTTTTCACACTTTTAAATAAATGTAGGCCTAGAAATGCTCACATAACTGCAACTTTCAACCTTATCAGAAAAGGTACAATTTGTAACTTAAATAAATAACTTTCATGCATGACTTTCTAAAAGTAAAAAACCTTTTTTGTTCTACTTTCATTTTATAATTGCAGTGTTATTGTTTATACCATAACAGAGTAATAAAAATCATTTTCGAAGTATACAAAAATGCAATGCATATATTTACAAAAAACAATGCGCATGACACCATCTGAAGAAGGAAATAACATCTGCTGACAATTCCAAAGAAAACAGCTTAAGTACCTGACTAAACAGGTGCCTTCTCTACGACATAAAAGCATCCTTTAGTGTAACACCTCCAGTTTTTATAGCCTAGATGTCAACCTACCAATTCCTCTACCAGGAAGCATTACTTTTTTAATTTGTTGTAAATAAGGTAAGAAATCTAAGTACGGTGAGCAAAAGCATTCTTGCCACTAGTAATCTTTCTCTTTCATTAGCACATTTTTCATGCGCGTTATGAATTAAAGCAATGCTTTATGATCTGCAAGGTCATCTAATGAGACAATGGAATGGGCTACACTCAGCTACCTCAGCAAAAAACAAAGAATGAGAGTGCAGCGAGACCCCTACGCCAGAAGCCACGCTGCCCCTAATGACACACCGCTATGTTTCCTCAAAGAATTCAAGGACACACGCAGCCATTCACAGCATGAGAAGAAAAGTCAACAAGGAAGAGATGGGAATAAATTTGTATAGTGCAGTTCGCAAGGAAATGTATTTAGCAACTGGAGAAAGTAAGCACATAGCCTAAATCAAGACTATTTTTGAAGCTATCCAGGAGCACATTAAACAAGTAAGCAATCAGAATTTTACAGTAATCCTTTTTTTAATTACCTCTTGCAGCATTTTTTTTTTATTGCCTTGAATTTTTGCTCCTTAAATACAACTTTGGAGGGTCCAAAAAGATGCAATGGCCTGCATTTCAGTTCTCACAAGATATGCCTGATACTTTCAAGCGTCAATGCAAACTCACACAAATTTGACCAAAATTTTAGATGCAATAGTGGTAGCAGGCATTTATATAAACAAAAACGCTTCATGTTTGATTGCATAAGGCGAGACCCCTACGTCAGAAGCCACGCTGCCACTAATGACACACCGCTATGTTTCCTCAAAGAATTCAAGGACACACGCAGCCATTCACAGCATGAGAAGAAAAGTCAACAAGGAAGAGATGGGAATAAATTTGTATAGTGCAGTTCGCAAGAAAATGTATTTAGCAACTGGAGAAAGTAAGCACATAGCCTAAATCAAGACTATTTTTGAAGCTATCCAGGAGCACATAAAACAAGTAAGCAATCAGAATTTTACAGTAATCCTTTTTTTATTTACCTCTTGCAGCATTTTTTTATTGCTTTGTATTTTTGCTCCTTAAATACAACTTTGGAGGGTCCAAAAAGATGCAATGGCCTGCATTTCAGTTTTCACAAGATATGCCTGATACTTTCAAGCATCAATGCAAACTCACACAAATTTGACCAAAATTTTAGATGCAATAGTGGTAGCAGGCATTTATATAAACAAAAACGCTTCATGTTTGATTGCATAAGGCACAGAACCATTAGTCAAACTGAAAGGTTGGTTTCCTGCTCGCTCACCACTTTACATGTCCAATTTTTAGCCGCATTTATTTATTTATTTATTTATTTATTTATTTATTTATTTATTTATTCATTCATTCATTCATTCATTCATTCATTCATTCATCATACCTTACAGAGCGTAGTACGACATTGAGTAAGGGGGGCAAATACAAAGTAAACACAGAAAAATACATCAGTAATTACAAGGAAAGCAATAAAGAGAAAAAGTGTACAGTGGAATAAGAGAAAAAATGATGCACTGCAAAAATACACTAAAACTGATGAAGAAACCAGAAACATGTACATATATATAATATTGCCACAGTTCGACATTCGCAGAAGATGCGTGCAACAATTTGCGTTCGTAAAATCCACCACACAAGTAGCAAGAAAGCTGTGCCATGGAATGCTGTCCTGCATGTGCCACGATGCTACGCCACGGGACCGGCGCGAGACTTTAAGTGAAGAGGAAGAGACCGACGAAGTTGAGACAGCGAGCAAAAAACATTTTGGCTGACCATTTAGTTTTGAGTTAACGGGCACAGGTTCGCCCTAAATAAATAGTATGTATAGTACCAGGTGCTATATTTATTGTTAACATTCTGGTGGAGGTGCGGTGTAAGATTCCAAGCCCACCACAGGCCTCGCTGCAACTTTCCTCAGCAACTTTCCTCATTAACCTCGCTGCAACTTTCCTCAGCAACCTGCCCAAACACAAACTCTTGGTGGTTTAGCTCAGTGTTTTAGAGCAAGCAGCTGAAGCGCGATTCGAAGAGCACTTACACGTTTGGCCCACTCTTCTTACCCATGCCAGCACAAAATCTGCAACCGCTTTCAACCGTCATGGAGTCAGAGCCCTCATGAGATTTCCGACAAATGACAACATTTTCTTATACGATACATTGGACAATTGAAATCGGTGCAGCTGTTTTGAGACAGTAGACTTACCTCGTGTGAATCATTCTCTTCCCGGGGGACCACTCCTATAATGGCACTGCTGAAAGTGCTGTGTCCTAGAAGATGGTGCTTCACCATGTTCATGCTGTAAATAAATATGAAAATAGGCATTTTTAGGCACGAGAAAATGAAGTAGAGCCCTGTTTAGCAATATATAATGCATGCTGACAAACAGTAATAGACAGAGGAAAAAATGTCACGGTGAAGACTATCAACCAATTGAAGCATATGGTCACAAACATGCAAAAAACTGAAAATGCTAAACTGTATCTTTAACATCAGATAATTCATGTATAGGTAAATGTAAAAAAAACAGACCCAAATAAATAAACTATTTTTTAAACTGAAGCCTAATAACTAACTTTAGATATCAAGAAGAAATAACAACTTGAATAAGCCTATCTGGAATGCTTGGAGTTACTAGAAATCTGCACTGCACATTCCTACAACTGCCATTTCACTGAATTTTGCTTTAACTCATTTCACAAGAATAACTCCTCCCCCCCAACCAAAACGTTCACAATTCACTCAAACGTCACTGAAAAAGCAATTTAATAAAATATGTCCAAAATAAAATGAACATGGCTGTCAAATGTGAGAACTCAGAACACTGAATTATTCTTATACATTACATGTCTCAATTCATGTGGTAGAGTAAGTACAGTTCAACTCTTTGCAACATTTTCTAAGAATATCAAAGTACAAAACTGAAACCATGTGAACATATGCCCATGTTCAAGAGCCGATTCTCAGTTTATACAATTGCGTTTTTAGAGCTTTCATCATTCAACTGCTTGCAAATAAGAAATAGATGAAGAGTCAAGCCCTTTCATTTATAGGCTATTTCATATTTAATTTACTTTCTGCTTCAAGCAAACGAAGGTGCCACCAGATTTTATTTCAGGAATGCGGGCGGGAGGGGGTGTCAAATTCTTTTACATGTATTGATTGATTGACATCTGGGGTTTAACATCCCAAAACCATTGTATGATTATGAGAGACGCTGTAGTAGAGGGCTCCGGGGTTTTTTTAACATGCTCTTATACATGTATTTGCGTGCATTTGAGTACAAATACAAATCATCAGGTAAAAATACTTAGAAAATAAGTGCTCAGCTACTGCAAGATAATTTGGGATGTGCAAATGCTACGAGCAAATTGAGTAGGACATGCTATTTTATTTGGGGTTCCACTTCTTTTCAAAGCAGTTATATCAAATCATATGGAACGTGACACAATAAAACAATTCATTTTTTGCTGCCTATCACTTTTTTTTAAGGAAGAAAATAAAACTGCTCATTTGCAATTGCCACGAAATATTCATATCTTTGAATTTTCACAGCAGTGGTTAGAAAAAACTGTATAGTTATACCGTGTAACATTCAATGTGCTGAGTTTGATGTGCTCTCATACAATAAATAAATAAATATATATATATATATATATATATATATATATATATATATATATATATATATATATATATATATTGTATAAAAAATAACCAGCCGTGGGCCTGCCCACGGCTGGTTATTTTTTCAGCCACTTTTCTTTCTTCTTATTTACATTCCATTGGTTCTAATCACTTCCCCTGTACATTCCTTGGCATTACTGTCTGTTAGATCTCATATATATATATATATATATATATATATATATATATATATATATATATATATATATATATATATATATATATATATATATATATATATATATTCAACATTAGTATTTTTTGAGTTAGGTGAACTGTTTGTAATTATTTTAAAAAATATTTTACAGAACACAGTCGGATGGCAAACTTTTCGAGTACTTGAGAGTGAATAACAAGTGTACAGGAAACGGGGCTGAATAGGGGGGGGGGGGGGGGGTTATAGCGGTAATTTATGTAAGGATTAATTGTTATCACGAAGGACAATATAGAGTTCGGTTAAAGAAGAGAAAAATTTTATATCGCGTTTATAGTGAAAGGGGAGCAGTAGTCGTCTAGCCAGTTGATAAAAAGTACATTTTATTTTTTTTTTTTCACGTAAATAACCTAGCGACAACCGCAAACGCGCACCTTCAAGTCGCACGCAGAAAAAAGAAACATAACTTAAACATAACCACTACGCCACTGCTGCATGCAACCTAGAAAACCGGAAAAAAGAAAGTAAAAAAAAACGATCTCATGCCTGCGCCCGCATTTGTAAACACATCCGCGCATTGCCGCTTCAACTTCCTCGATTCGGAGCGCGTTCCAATGCGGTAAAAACGGAACAGGAACTCGGCCATAGGCTTAAACCGACGCCTGACCACCCTTAACGGCAATACCACCATGCAGACTATGCAGACACCGCACCGGATATGAAACTTAAAACGCAACCAGGCGCGCATAAACCGTCTGCTGCAAAACACTCGACCGAACTAGTTTAGGTCGGCCGCCTACCTATTTAACATGCGTTTCGAATTGTTGTTACCTTACACATAAAAAATCAACATTTTGACAAATTAACATGAACTATGTTTTCGCAATCCAGGCGCTAACAAACAACTAGCACAAATTTACATGTTATCCACAAGTAGATTCAGTAGTGCGTCAATGCAATTGAGGTCGAGCGCGCAGCATCGTGTCGGTGCAACATCGTAACCGCAGACTGAAAAATGCAACACCATGGTCCGATGCTAGCAACTGAAATTTGCGAATCACTTACTTCTTGTGCGATGAGACTGGTATTCGTATCGAAGCTCCTGGGAAAAGAACGCCGTCGATCAAAAGCAAAGGCAGCCTTCGGGGAAGTCTTGCTGTTGGCGTCGCCATTTTCACAACTACGTCGCTTGTAGCGCCACCACCACTGACCGCGGGAACTTTAAAGGAATTAAACATGCTCGTTTTCACCGGTCTGTGATGCTGAACCATGTGCTGACCGGTCATTCCACTGACGGCAACTTCAATGTTTCCGACTTTGCACAACAAGCAACACCGTTAATGCGTACGTTGAGCGCACCGTGATTGCAAAGCACCACTCAACGTTCGCACGATGCTTAACCAGTTATTCGGCTTTAATTTCGTGCATCGCTAAAATAGGGGAAACGGATAAAGAAACAAATAAGTGTCTGCGTCGTTTTAAGAGTGCTACTGCGGTCGCTGATATTCTGACCGAAGTTGATGACCTTGCCCGAAGGTCCCTGACTTAACATTGCGGAAGGAAGGTGGAACTTGTTTGCGGACACCGCCGAAATATAGGAAATAAGAAGAGACCTAGGCCAGTGCACTCTTCGCGGAACCGGTCCTGCGAGAGGTGAATGCAAACACACAACATCCGAGACGGACAAATGAAAAGCGCTTGTTTTTCGTGAAATGATGCTAGCTACTTACGACAGGTTTGCGAAGCCCAATGAACGGCGTCGCATGTGTCGTACGTTGCCTAGCCGGCAAGGTGGCAGTAAGCAAAGGCTTTCTACGACGGTCCTTTTGTCCGTTCTGGCACCCAATGACTTCTCGTCCACTGCAGTCAAGGATGCTTACCGAAAATCGGCGACACTTTAATAGAAGAAGCGGGATAACTTGGGAGAACATTCTAGCTCGAGGGGTCGCACTGCATGGGCGCGACCTTCCGAGATTTATTCATCAGAAATAATATTCAACGAGATCCATCAGACAGATGTTTAATAAAAGTTTCACGTACGTTAATGGCGACATAACACATGAAATATAAGCACACTACAGGAATGCGCGCAAAATGCCGTGAGGCGCACACAATTCCGCACAGTTCACTCCTGATGTCGTATTTGCTATAGCGCAGATGAGTTTGAGCAAGAGGGAAAGGAACAATAGCAAAGAAGGAAATGGCATTGTTGTCTGTCATTTCGTTTTTCACTGCTCATCCTCATTTCCTTCATGTTCAAACTGAACGCACCAACTTGCCCAATGATTTATTGATTGATATGAGGGGCTTAACGTCCCAAAACCATCATATGATTATGAGAGACGCCGTAGAGGAGGACTCCGGAAATTTCGACCACCTGGGGTTCTTTAACGTGCACCCAAATCTGAGCACACGGGCCTACAACATTTCCGCCTCCATCGGAAATGCAGCCGCCGCAGCCTGGATTCGAACCCGCGACCTGCGGGTCAGCAGCCGAGTACCTTAGCCCCTAGACAACCACTGCTGGGCCCAACTTGCCCAATGCACAGTCAATTTCACTGTTCAACTTGCATGAAGGGAGTCTGTCAAAATTGGCGGGTAAAGGGGGAGGCTATTTTGCATAAAACCACAGGAGCTGCACAAAAGCAACAGGCAGCCTTCCCTGTCACAAGACCGGCACCCTATAAGGTTTGACGCCTCACTCCAACACTAATTGTGTAATTGAGAAAATGCTCAAGCATTGGTGACAGCGGTGTAAATCTAGAAAAATCCCAAATGGGACCATGGCGGCCATTTTGTTTTAGGGGCGAAGCCTTATGTCGTCACCCGATCATCCCGTTATCGTAGTAACCATGTGCACCGGTGGCACATACCGCAGAGAGCTGTCCTTAGAATGTCGGCTGGATGGCAACATATGATCAAAAGATGTGAGATGGTGGTACTTGGAGTGTTCACTAGATAGACGGACAGACATACAGATAGACGGGCGGACTTACGGTCGGACAGACGAACAAACGGTCGCACGGATGGACGGACACACAGACGGACGCATGGACGGACGGAAGCAAGAATGAATGGGTGGACGGAAGCACGCGTACGGACTGACGAGCGCTTCGCCCCACCAATCATCATTCACTCCGTGGATATGCTGGGATTTTTTTTTCTAAATATTGGTTGTATTTGATTTTCTTTGAAAAAAAAAACGAGAATTGAATCCAGCTCGTGCAATTGCATTGTTCTATTCATTCTTTAAAACGGTCGCGTGGCTTTTGCGACCTCCATATCTCACACAGATGTGCCAGATGAGCGGTACTGAACAAAGTTACGCGCTAAAAAATAACCTCAAGTTGTGCTTGTTTCTAAATTTACCAGGTCTTTCAAAATAGCATTTAGGTACATATTGGGTAGATCTTCGTAATTCTTAGGGAATAATGTATATATTGTCAAATTCTATTCTAACTGTTTGAAGAGGTCTGTTTAGTACACTTAATGAATTTTTATTTGCAATTATTTCAAGAGTTTCTTTGCGACGAATAATTTATACCACTACTGGTTAAAAATGACGTCGGCTCATTAATTAAGCACACTGCGACCTCCTCTGTGGTGTTGCAATCTTTAGGAAGGCCCGTTAGAATTGGAATCATATAAGAATAGAAGGCAGGCACGCTTATGAAATATTATTTGCGACAAAGTTAGGAAGCTCAAGACAAAACTATAATGATTCGCGTTCTAGAAGAACCAGTGCTTGAAGTTTTTGAGCGGGTGCTTCACAAAACAAGACGCAGCCAAACTCCGATATCGGACGAATATACATACAATAAATTATAATAGTTTGCTGCTGTGCCTGCGAAGTATACCACCCGTGCTCTTTTAGCTGTCATTTTTTTTCATATGCGGCCCAGTGGTTGATCCAGAGGGGGAGGGGGCGCTAGGGGCGATCGCCCCCTCCCCCCCTCACTTCAGTGCTCGTAGTCCACCTCCTGTCACCAATTAGGACAAATGAGTGAAAGCACTGTAAGCACACATTAACGGCATCTATATTATAAAAGGGTTTTCCTTCTAGTAAAAAAAAACAAAGCCCTGTCCATATTGCTCATTGCCGTAGTTTTCTCCCCCCTCAAGCAGATTGGGACTTCACCCAGCGTGCCTACGCGACATAGGTCCAACAATCGTTGGACGTATGTCACGTAGGCACGCTGGGTGAAACACCAATGTGATATCGTGATATGATTCGTGATATCGTGTGAATGTAGGGTACTACAACAAACTTAAGTCTGTTAAGTTTGTTGTAATACCCTATATTCACACGATATCACGAAACCTTAAGAGGACACGTTCAAGGAATGGCATAGACCTCGTCTTCATGGCACCTTTTCGTTTGCGCTCTCTTTCCGGTCAAAGAACAAAAAAAAAAAAAACAGACAGTGGAAAGAAGCATATGAAGGCTTTTGTCACCTGTGCTGCAGAAGTGGTACATAAGATACCACTCAGTTGTGGTAATTCTTACATCCGCCAAACGGGCCGATGCCGTAATGACAGAGCACGCAACTACGGTGAATGCTCTGAATGACGTGGCGCATCTTCCTGCGCAATGCAGCACAGTGGAAATTCTTACGAAAGGGAACACTCAGCCACGTGGCCTGCGCTCATAGGCGGCGCGGAAAAGCGGCCAAGAGAGCTTTTCGAAGCGGCGAGCGCGTGAACCTGTTCAGATCGCATGACTCTTTCGGCTTGCCACGCGGCAGAAGAGGCGGGCATCTCGCGCCTTTGCGCACGTACACCCGCGGCATCACCGCGCTATTGGCTGCGCAAAGCAGTGATCCTCGGCAGGCGGCGATCGCCCTTGAAGTGAAATGAACTTTATTTGGTCCTGGAGAACTGGTCACACGCCCCCCTAAGAGGTGTGCGCCGCAGTTGCTGGCCGCGTCCACGCCGGGACTGGAAGACCGTGGCCCTCCGCCCGTTCGCAGGCCTCCTGGACTGCCGAGTATTGGACTGAGAGTTCGGGGCTTTTAAGAGCCCTCTCCCAGTCTTCTTCTGTGCTGAACTTTGCGCCATGTAACGCCGGGCACTGCCAGAGCATGTGAGCGAGTGTGCAGTTATGTGCCTCACAACTAGGGCATCCTGGAGTTATGCCATCAGCAAAGTGGCTGAATGTGCTACGAGATGGGAATGAACCTGCCTGTAGCATCCGAAGAACCGACGACTGTGGCCGAGTGAGCTTGGAATGCGGAAGCGGGTACCTCCGCCTAGACAACTGATAATGGGACGTCACTTCGTTAAAGGTGCCAAGTGGATCTTTAAAGTTATCCGCGAACCCATCTCCGTACCCGCCCGGACCGCCACGGCACGTGATTTCTCGCGCACGGTTATGGGCAAGTTCGTTGGCGTTGGGAAGAGTCGGATGCACCTCTGAGCCCATGTGGGCCGGAAACCAGGTGATTGTGTGGTGGCCTACTACACCCCTGGAATTCAGAATAGCGGCAGCCTTCCTAGAGATTACCCCCGAGGCAAACGCCCGGGCGGCAGCCCTGGAGTCAGTAAATATCTCTGGACGCGAAGGGTCCGTCATCGCCAAGGCTATCGCTACCTGCTCTGCTACGGAGGCAGACGCTTTCCTCACGGAAGCTGAGTTGAGTACGCGACCGCGATGATCAACGACCACAGCTGCAAAACGATCGGAGCGGCCGTACTGCGCCGCATCGACGAAAGCTACACTACCCGTGGACTTAGCCACGAAATCAAGGAGAGACTTGGCCCGTGCCTTTCGCCGGCCAACATTGTACTGTGGATGAACGTTACGCGGGAAGGGTGCCACCTCGTACGTGCCCTTCATTGTTTATGATAAGAAGATCTTCTGTTCCTCCCCTGGCGTAATATGATATCCCAGCGACTGTAGAAGACGCTGCCCAGCCTTCGTGGAGGAGAGTCGCGCGACCTGAGCTAGTGTTTGTGCCTCGGTCACCTCCGTGAGGGTGTTGCGCATGCCCAGACTCATGAGCCGGTCCGTGCTGGTGCTCATAGGTAGGCCTAGTACCCTTTTGATGCTTTTACGCAATAAAGTGTCGAGTTTATCCTCCTCGCGTTTAGACCAATTTAGCGAGGATGCCATGTAATTAATGTGGCTCATCAGGAATGAATGGAAGAGCCGAAGGAGATTGCTCTCCCTCAG